ACCCAAGTGCTGTCCACTGGAAAGCCATTTTTAGGGTGCTACATTATTTAAGGCACACTCGTAATTTTGGACTGCACTATTCTAGATACCCTACAGTAATCGAAGGGTATGCTGATGCAAATTGGATATCAGATATGTCAGATACCAAGTCTACTAGTGGATACGTCTTCACTCTTGGTGGTGCAGCTGTCTCTTGGAAATCGTCTAAACAAACTTGCATCGCAAGATCTACAATGGAATCAGAGTTCATCGCTTTGGACAAAGCAATTGAAGAAGCGCCAGTTTGTTGAGGATATTCCAAGATGGTCAAAGCCTGTGCCTGCAATTTGTGTTTATTGCGATAATCAATCAACAATTGGCAGGGCACAGAGCAATATGTACAATGGTAAGTCTCGCCATATTCGAAGACGACACAATATCATTCGACAACTACTCTCACAAGGTATTATCACTCTGGACTACGCGAAGTCAAATGATAATATTGCGGATCCACTAACCAAAGGGCTAACTCGAGAGCTAGTTGTAAAAGCATCGAGGGGAATGGGCTTGCAGCCTATGACGTTGATAGGTATCATGGTGGAAACCGAACCTAGCTGAATGGAGATCCCATGATCTAGGTTCAAAGGGACAACTAAAACATGTATATCTGTGTAAATCACTAAGAATGTTCTCCTTCTGCTCATTCCTATGGTGCTCACAGTGATTGGAAGATGCAGGTTAAGCTATGTTTTTAATGACCATTAAGCTTTGTTGTGAAAAATTGAGTTAAGAGGTCACCTATGTGAGTGTGAAGTGGGGCCGCTTCTATAAGGATTGGCAAGGCTACATCCTTGAAAAAACACTTGTAGAACCAGCCGACGTGTTCATGGAGAAAACGAACACAACAGTAAGAACTATGCTGTGACTAGAATGGTTCTGTGTGAGATCTATTGTCTTGGTTTACACAAATGGCGAAACAGTTCAAGGCATCAAATCCACTGGTTAGCTAGTAATTCCCGATAGGTTTCACAAGGAAAGGTTCAAAGCTAAATGATACCTATCCTATGTAGGATTGATTCGTTTTACTCTCTCTTTCCTCTTGAGTCTTAGTTTCCATTTTTTCATTCATGTGGAGGATTGTTAGAATTGAATGAAAAATATTGAATGGAAGTAATGAAAAATATTGAATAAAAGTCTCTTTATATGTTGTAATTCAAGTAATTTAAGTCCCTGCATGTTTTTAACTTCTTTATCAATGAATGGTTTAACGGTTTAACTCCTTGATTAATGAGCTAGCTTTTCTTCCATTGGTATAAATAGGAGTCTCTCTAGGTTGGAAAATCACAAGTGAAATGTAAGCTTCTTCCTCTAAGCGACAATCTTCTTTTTCTCACTTTCAAGTTTTTTCTTGTGCTTATAATTTCTTTGTGACATAGAGTATATCACAGCTAGTTCGCAAGCGGTTAACATAGTGCAGCGTGAACCGACAATCGATTGTATCCTGAGAATCGAACACCTATCAAAACCTCTTGCACTCCGGTGAGGCGGCGAATTCAATTTAAGGAAACTGTGAATACATAGGCCTTCAGTTTGATTTGATTATCTAATATTTACCTACACTAAAGCCTCAAAAATAGGCAATCGAAGGTTACAAAATTCAACCACTATAAGAATAAATAAAAAAGAGACTTATCTCCTGAACAGGAATCACAGATCTGCCTCAGACCCACAAGGAATCAATAGACCACATCTCTAACCTCGACACATGAGGACTTTAAACATCACTCAAAAATATATAAGTATTCAGTGGTTAAAACCTTCAAAATACTAATCGAATGAGAAGATCAATTACAAGAAAATAGGGAAGCAGAAAATCCTAGCCAGAGAACACAGAAGAACTCTATTGAACCCTTACTCGAAAAGTCAGATGAATGAATAGTCACAAGGCCAAATGAAGCTTCGAGTCCCTTTTATATCACCAGAGAATGTAACCCTTCATCCAACGGTAGGAATAGTGCTAAGTGTCATCATCAGGCAGAATGCTACTTATAAAGTCGTGTTTTCATAATACGTTTAATAGGCTGAAAATATGGGAGCATCAATACCACAGTTCGAATCACAACACACTCTTTAAAGGATCCCATTCCAACCTAAACACCACTCAATTTACAATCGAACTTGCAAATGTTGTACAATTCAATTACTTCAATCAAGTAGGACTCTATTGGATAAGAATATCCAGCTAGTTCAGTCCCAATAGGAGTGCACTACATAATTCTACTAGGAATGCATTATACCCAACTCTATAAATATAAAGCTTTGGACCATTATTCAGGTTCGTTTTTCATACATAATTTCAGCATAAACTTTTTCACATAATCCTCTTTCTGACTTAAGCGTCGGAGGAAGACGAGAAGAAACCTTGTTGTCTTTGTTTCAGGTACTGAAAGATTACGTTCGTGCTCATTTTCAGTCTTCAAGTTTGAAAATCAGCAGGTGCAACTTTTGGTAGCATCATACACGATATTTGTGAACCTTAGCCCAATCAAAAAAACCTCTTTCATGATATTTGTGAACCATAGCCCAAAAAGAACATGGTTTCTATAAAGAACCTCCTTTCATGATCTTAATAACTTTTTGATCAATTTTTTATTTTCTACTCTACATCTTACCAAGAAATCTTTTTAAAAATTTTAATTTTCAAGTTAAAATTTTTTTTTTAACTGTATTTGTATCCAACGAACGAATGAGAAGATCAATTACAAGAAAATAGGGAAGCAGAAAATCCTAGCCAGAGAACACAGAAGAACTCTATTGAACCCTTACTCGAAAAGTCAGATGAATGAATAGTCACAAGGCCAAATGAAGCTTCGAGTCCCTTTTATATCACCAGAGAATGTAACCCTTCATCCAACGGTAGGAATAGTGCTAAGTGTCATCATCAGGCAGAATGCTACTTATAAAGTCGTGTTTTCATAATACGTTTAATAGGCTGAAAATATGGGAGCATCAATACCACAGTTCGAATCACAACACACTCTTTAAAGGATCCCATTCCAACCTAAACACCACTCAATTTACAATCGAACTTGCAAATGTTGTACAATTCAATTACTTCAATCAAGTAGGACTCTATTGGATAAGAATATCCAGCTAGTTCAGTCCCAATAGGAGTGCACTACATAATTCTACTAGGAATGCATTATACCCAACTCTATAAATATAAAGCTTTGGACCATTATTCAGGTTCGTTTTTCATACATAATTTCAGCATAAACTTTTTCACATAATCCTCTTTCTGACTTAAGCGTCGGAGGAAGACGAGAAGAAACCTTGTTGTCTTTGTTTCAGGTACTGAAAGATTACGTTCGTGCTCATTTTCAGTCTTCAAGTTTGAAAATCAGCAGGTGCAACTTTTGGTAGCATCATACACGATATTTGTGAACCTTAGCCCAATCAAAAAAACCTCTTTCATGATATTTGTGAACCATAGCCCAAAAAGAACATGGTTTCTATAAAGAACCTCCTTTCACGATCTTAATAACTTTTTGATCAATTTTTTATTTTCTACTAATTGTTTTTGGTTTAAATAGACCCCTGACCATAATTGTGTAATACTCTCATTTATTTTTGCTCACTTAATTAAGGTTTATTGACTACATCTTACCAAGAAATCTTTTTAAAAATTTTAATTTTCAAGTTAAAATTTTTTTTGAACTGTATTTTATCCAACGAACATCAAAAAAGAAAAAGCCATGTAATTCTGATAGTTATAAGAATTGACAAAACAAAAATGATAAATATTATTTATACCTTTGAAAAACTTATTATTCTAGAAAATGTTCCCATTCGTTTTGCCTAATATTTTAAAATTATTGGAGTATTTCTCCACTAAGCAACATAGTTTTACTTTAAATATTTTGTTGTCATTCTCCACTAAGTAACCTTTTGCACGAGAGCACACATTGAATGGTGAGTGAACTTTCTTATTAATTGTTTTTATATAATGATAAAGCCATTAATTATGGACTTTGTAGATTGCCAAATTGCATCAATCCATAATAGATGGATGAATTAATGGAAAATTTTAGTCAAAAGGAATTGTTCTCATTTAATAAATAAATTGAAAATAATAATTAAAATAATGATGATATTGACGTAAAATTTAGCGTAATAAATTATTTTTTGATGATTTTAAAAAAATTGGTGCTTATATATTTTTGAGGAAATTACTAGAAATGTCAACTTTCACATATCTATTTACAAAAATGTCCACCATTGCAAATTCCGGCAAAAATGTCCATTTTGAAATAATTTAGACCAAAATATCCTTGTTAATAATTTATGATTCCACACAAAGACTAAAATAGATATTTTTGTAATTAAAAATTTTATTGGCCAACAAGATTTTGACACATAACCTGCTTTATCTATTTCGAAAGTGCACATGTCAAATCAAAATAAATTCTATTTTTCTCATTGACACACAAATGTCGAGGACTACTTTTTAAGTGTAGAAAAATGTCATGTTCAGAATGAAATGTCATTCTAGACATCTAATATGTCTAGAACAACATTTGAAATGTCAAGAACATTAAATGTTGTGATTTGACATGTATACTTTGAAAATATAAACGGGGTTCAAATATCAAGTACGACATTTGAAATGTTGAGAACATCATTTTAATGTAACTTCTCATAAAAAATACTACTTGAAATCTATGACAAATTGGAAAAAATTAATCGCTTCATTTTTTCATTAAGGGCATAATTACAGTTTGTTACTAAGCCCCCGTTTGGTCCCCATTAAATTTCATTACATTACATTTCATTTTTCTCTTTTTTATTTTTAACCACATAATTTTCTATAAAATACTATTACACGTAAATCAAAAAAATTTCTTCTTTTTCAACCACTCATTTTTTAAAAAAAAAACACTATTCCAACAATTTTTATTTTCAGACATGACGGACAAATGAGGGCTAAATTTAAAAGGTGGACATTTTTGAATTGACACCCATGAAATTGAATTTTTTTTAAAATACCCCTATATCTTTTTGGAGATAAGAAGTCAATATTCAAAGGCAAGAAAGGTGACAAATTAACGGTTCAAAACTGCCACGCAAATAAAGCCAAGTAGTGTAACATTATGAAATCCAACCAAAAAGTAACATATTATTAACGTGTTACTATACTTTTATCGTGTTTAACCTTCTTATTTATTTTTATTTTTTTTAATTTTTTCCTCCGGATACAAAATGAAATAAGTAAAAGAAATGAAAAATGCAAAATTCACAGCCATAAGGCACCAGCTTTTCTTAACAGAGGCACCAGTTCACCGGAAATATGAGCTGCCATAACTTCATCAAGTCCACCAAGCAAATTTCCGCCGACAAAAACTGTCGGAAACGGTGGTGGTGGCCGGTCGGCTATCTCTTCTGGATTATCGATAATCTTCGAAAATTCGTCTATTGTGGCTGCTTCATTCTGCTCATTTATGTCAAATATGGTGGGATTGACGCCATGGCCTTGTAACAAAAGTTTGATAACATGGCACATACAGCACCCACTTCGGGCAAACACCACCACTGGATTCTCAGCCACCAATTTTGTTATACCTGAGTTAGCGGCTGTGGTGGCGGCGGGAAGCAAATCTTTGTACGGGATTGCTTGTTGCATGGTAAGGATCTTAGAGGTGGAGTGAGGGTGGGGTAGAGGGAGGCGAGGGGAGATTAATAGTGGGCGTGGTAAAGTTATATAATAGCAAGGTGGGGGTGGAGGTGACTGTAAGGTCAACGGAAGTGACGTAATTGTGGACGTCATGATTATTGTTGGGGGTGGGGCTGGGGTGCACCGAGTCTTTAATTAAGCCTAGACAGATTCCAAAATTTGGATTTTGTGGACGGCTTTCAAATTGGTGCGTTAGGCATTAGTCTTTGATACATTACGTTGCAATAGACTTTGGCTTTAAATTGGTCAATTTGGCTCAAGTTTAATTGATATGTTAAAATCATCCTTTTAGAATAACACAGAAGGGGGGCATCACCCGGTCCAATAGACTGGATTATTCCAGCCAGCCCGAGTTCCTCCAATAGGGCATACTCTACCGATGGGGTATCCAAGCCCGATAAGACCATTGAATAGCTGCGTACATTTATGTCTCTCCACTTGCTCTCCTTCATCTTTCCACTAGCTAGTCGGGTACTGTATTTGCATACTTCATTTAAGACAGAAAAAATAAAGGCTGGTTGATATATATAAGGTGGACTGGGTCCCTCCTCTCCTCTTCCTCCGCCCCTATCCTGGGAGAAGCCATATCTTTGAGATTGATGCTTCGGCCAGAAAAGGAAAAGTTTATAGACATCTCGACTACGAACTATAGACAGAAAAAAAGGGACTCAGGCTTCCTATTCAGGTACGAGTCGAGTAGGAAGCACTTTTGGAAGAGGATTTCTCCCCAAAGCGGGCTAGATTATAATTCAATTAAAGTTCGAGCTTTACATTTAGCAGTTTATGAGTACCAATCAGACTGAGTATGGGATACGATGTATGAAAAAGAGTGAATAACATTGTTCATCTTCAGAGGAATAATTTGCTGTGAAGGTTGGATATGTTGATTTTGAGTTGAGAGAATTCAGATCTTGTCTAAAATCTTTTGTCAATTCTCAAACAATTGCTCTATCTGTTCTCAAATCGAATTTTATTTATATAGGCGGAATATTTATTCCCCTCTTTGAATATAAGATGATGGTTAGCTGATGTCAAGAAGTTATTCAAATAAAACGAAAGCTTGATGTCTATACTTATCTATTTATCACTTTGTTAGCTTTCGCAATTATGACAAACTTCTGGTCCTTCGATTTGTAAAATTTTGTCACTTGTACATTGCTTTTTACCACTTTGTTAACAGAAAAATGTGTTGGCAACAAATTATTTATTGAAAAGACTGCATTTTTTCTTTTCGATTTGTCAAATGAAAAATTGCCACATGGTATTCTGTCAAAAAACTATCAAAGGCAACGCATACCAAGTATGATTGTTGATTTGTATTTTTATTGTTTTAAAATTGGACAAAATTATCTATCAGCTTGACATTATCAGCCACGCATGCAATTTGGTCTTTATCTTCTAATGACATTAGCATGTCATCAGATATTAAATCCGACTCTATGCATTGTTTTTTTATTTTTGAGTCAACGTGTATCTATTATTGAATTAACTGAATTTGATAATATTTGATCGGACCCATTACGGGCAATGACGACTTCATATTGAAAACAAATTTAGCGTAATCCAAAGATTGGTTTCTTCTGATTATAAAAATGAAAAACAAAATAAAATAAAAGTGGATGGATGAAGTCTTTCAATTAAGCGAGTACTTTTGGTATTCATTTCTCTTTTAAGTTGCATATGGTCGAACTTTATCATTTTGTTGTAGAAGAGTCTACTTGATTGAACTAGGACGTGTGATTGTTTATTATTTTCTCTTAATGATCAACTTGATTTTGTGCGGTTTGAGTTGAGGTCAACTGGCTCATCTCTATCTATTCTTCTAACTTGTCTCGAGGTGTGTCATAGATATTTTAATATGTAATCAATTTTTTGTTCTTTGTTCTTTCGCGTGAAGATGGTTGCTCAATCTAATATCACATTGAACAACTTCATATAAAAGTTTAAGACGTTTCAACAATGTTTGAGCATTCTCATTTTTTTGGGATAGGATCTTCTGGAAGGACCACTTTTTTTGTTCGTTTGATGAGTAGTTCATTCTATTCACAGAAACTACAGAACCAGTAAAGAAATAAAATAAAAACTGAATCTGAATGCATACAACAATTTCAGTGACTAGAACAGTACCTAAAAGACCTGAAAGCAGCAACCCGAAGCACTGCAGTTAGGAGCTTAATGTACATACAGAATTGGTTAAGCTATATAAATAAATATCTATTGACACTTAAAGGTTACATTGCACCCCTTGGAATTGGCTCTCTTCAATATGCCTCCGGTACATTTTTGTTTAGCTGATATTGATAGAAATGATTCAGGCTCCGACGTTGGAGAAGGGGAACTACGTAGAAGACCTGAAGATGGGCATTTCAAGATTCCTTTTAAGGGCTTTATTGACATACAAACGATGTCTTTTCTTGAATGGTCGCTTAAATTGCCCTTCCAACCTTCTTCATTAACAAGATCATTAGTGGATGATTCCTTTTTAACCCTGGAATGTGAAGCATCCTCTATGACTTTGGCATGTATAAGAAAGTTGCTGAAAGGATCCTCCTCACATTTCATCTTGACAGGAACATTATTGTCACCAAACATATCCTCTGTTTTTCTTATTTCAACACGCGTGTATTCATCGTCCTCCTCAACTTGATATTTAGGTTTTTCCTTCTTAACTTTCGGCAGTTTGAACCATCCTTCTTTTAACAAAGAAAGAGAATTCAGATTCTTAAGAAAAGAGCTTTTCTTGGGTGAGGGTGAGGGTGAGGGTGAATCCTTCAATTTCTTCTTGTCACTGGCTCCTAACAATCCCATAGCAATAATGCTGGTAATAAAAAGCTGACAAATTGCACATTTAATTTGCTCGTGTCTCTCAAAAGACGAAGCCTCTGTCAAGCCGGTCATTCTCTTGATCCCAAGAACTTTTCGTGCCAAATCAGCAAGCTCCCGTCTTTTATACTTGGGATCTTTAAGAATTTCTGCAGCTAGATAACCAATATCCACTTTGCTTTTGTTCAATCCCAATTCTTCAAATGGGAACAAATCTTTCTTCTCAGGAATACCAAAGCCAACAAAACGAATTCTTTCATCCATGAGAAATTTTAGGATCGAAGGAGGCAACTCGTCCCCTTGACGAAACCTGAGGATCACACAACCAACACCAAAGCATAATAACATTAACAGTACGGATGGATCACGAGGATGGCACATGACATCAAGGCCAACAACCGGTGGATGGTCCCAAATCTTTCCGTCTGGGAAGAGAAAATCCATCATGCATAATTCTTCAAAATCCTTAGCTTTGAATGTGATCCCTTCAAGCTTAACTTCAAAGCAATTGGTTTTCAAGAACACAGTTCCTGCCATTTCAATGTGAATTCAATGGAAAACAATGCAACTAATTCTTACAAAGCATTAATGGCAATACACAGGGAATTTTATCAAACACGAAAGGGGCCAAATGAAAAACTCTTTCAAGAAAGAATAGCGTCTGAATCAATTCAACCCCCACAATACAGGGAAGTTAAATGAGGAGAAAAAACCATTGATTTTTCGAGTTTAATAAGGTTTTTCTGTTCTGGATATGTTACAAATTACATCCACAAAATTCCAACTGATATTGGGGGTTTAGCTCAGCCATTCAACTAAATTAACGGTCCTTCACAAATAAAGCAATTCCACTAAGGTTTTAGGTAAATTTCATATTGTGTTTGGTATACATAATTTATAGACCCCACCTCATGTGAGGAATGTGGACACCCCTATGTACATAAATTATTTACACCAAGACTTTTCCTTATTATATTTCTTGAAAGTTCACATCCGGAATAATCCTACAATAAAATCATAACTCCTCGAATTGTGTCCACCCTCTAAACTAAAACTTGATTTGTGACTTTATAGCTATTTGAACTAGGGGCGAATCTAGGATTTTAAGTCAGCACGAGAAATCGTCAATTATCGCCACAATAAAATATTACGAATCAGTTTGATGCTCCTTTTTTATGCAAAAAATGCATTTTGGAATAGTGATTTGATGGAGAAAGTGTTATTAAAAATAAAGAATAAATTTGAATTTGTGTGTAATATTATTTTATTGAAGAATGTGTGGTTGAAAAAAATATATATTTTGGAAAAAAATAAGGAAATGAAACATGGCCTAAAATTTAAATATAACAATTATTTTGTTCAAAATGAATATATATAATTCTGTTATACATATTAACTGTATTTACCAAATGATATTATGGCCGAGTTTTGCATAATTCAAAAGAAGAGTAATATTTACTTCATTTGAAAAATAATTCATAATAATTCAAGTCATATTTTTAGATACCCATTTTTGCAATTTCATTCCCGTCTACGTACCCAAAAAATACTATATCACGAGGTAATATTCATTTGGCTAAAACTTAACATATATTATTCTGTTCGATTAAATTTCGAAAGTAAGCAAGTGCCACAATGGTTTATCTCTCCATAATGCTAAAGAGAGATGACATGTTCGAATCCTCTCCATATTTCATTGATTTTGGTAAAAAGGGTAGAAATAAAAATATTGCACTAATAGTTGGTTGGAAAGAGATTTGAACTCCGAACTTCCAACGTGAATTGGCAACCTCCAATGAATTGAGCAACAAGGGATGGATGTAAACGAAGTGAATTACCACTTATATAGGTTAAAAAGTATATCTATTATCGACAACAAAAATAGCTCCCGGTGGATCCAAATAGGGCGACCGCCCTGGCTCGCCAAACCCCTAGATCCGCCCCTAATTTGAACATGTTCTCTTTAAAAGTCGGTGTTTGAAAGTAAGCTCCATCAATTACATAATAACAGTGGGTAAGAATAGCATGCAGTCTTGTTAGGAGGACTTTTATCAATGAAAATCATGGAGGGCAAGTTAGCAAGGACCTATTGCATGTTCCAGATTGATATAGATCAATTCGAAGAGAAGATTCTAGACCAATTAGAAAATAAAATGAATATGAAGTATGTGCAAAAACGTAAAAGATGTACAAAAATGCATATAACTTTCTGCTCGATTGTCAAATTTTTGCCCATGTGTATAATTTGAAGCGTCTTTCGATTGTGCACAAGTTTGTCGGATGATTATGTCAAATTTTGGGGGTCAAAGTCGGTTGTTTAGAATTTATTTTTGCGTTTTTTATATTTTGAATTAGTTTAAGGGTATTTTCGTTATTTTGTAGTATTTTAGTTTTATTCAAATTTGTTTTGTAGTTTTTCTAATTTATTTTGCCTTTAAAATTAGAGTTTTGTTTTGTTTAGAAGTTTATGTTATATCATTCATTGTACAGTAAAGACATTAATTTTTTTTTTGAATTAATCATAATGTGAAAATTTTCACTTTCTATATTGTTCTTAACTAAACAGAATTTATCAAATATTTTCCCTATTTACGTCATTCAAACTATTCGAACTTATAAAAAATTTATATTCTTTGTAGCGTTCAATATATTCATAATAAGGTTCATAATTTTTGTAATCGCGGAATCAGCATATTATCGACGATTGTATTAGTTCAATAAATTATTGGGTCAAGTTTCAAATCGGAATTTTAACTTTCTTGAGGTTTTGAATCAATCTTATGTGAATTTCGTATTTCCTATTGCTACGTGAGTTCACATCATTTATGATGGATGAGACGACTTACTCTTCATATGTATTTGTCAAAATTTCTATCTCCAACTAGACATAGAAAAAAGTAATTACAATCGCCTAAACTAAATTGAAAACCAATCAGAACTCACTAATTTTATTTGGTCAAATCGTGATGACTAACGAACCTATTCCTCGTGCAAGATTCTAAACATTAAGAATGTAATTGGTTTACGTTGTTTGAGACAAATTTTCAAAATCTTATAGCCACTAAATATTTATTACGAGTTCAAAGATCTTGGACCTTTTTTTAAAAAAAAAAATGTGTAAAGATGCTTCTTATCTCTAAATACTTGTGTGTATTGGACATAATTTCTCCTTTTAATTATGTTCTCTGTGATGTGGGATCAAGAATTGACAATGGAGAATCTTTTGTTGTTAGTGGTTGCACCTTTATTCGTTTCTTGCCCTCATCATTTTCTTTTCCCCTTATTCGAACGGGGCATTTTAATGAACGATTGGATGACTTACTCAAGACTTAAACCTAATTTATTTAAAGTAATAAAAATATATCTTTACCCTCTTTTATACTTTTGTGGACAACTTTTATCTCTAAACAACATTGTCTCTAACCTTTCATTTTTTGGCCCCCCATGGTACTATGATTTTTGTTCAAAATTTTATAATTTGTCATGTGCAATTCCCTTACTTGACCAAGTAAGGTAATAATGTTTGAATATTATTTCAATTATAAAAAAGTTGAAAAAAAAACTGTCATCTTCTTCACATTTTGAATGATTTTTCTTAATAATGCAAACTAGTTTGTCTACATTGGTTTCGATAAAAATGAGATTTTTAGAAAATTTTGATAAAAGTTGATGAAAGACGTAATTAAAAGTAGATAAAAAAAAGTTATGAATTTCATAAAATGTATGATTAAAAATGAATTTTAGAAAATGGGAATAAATTGTGGGACTTTCAATTTGTTCTTATCGTTTGTAATTAAGATTCGCCAAACATGCCATAGAGAAACGGAGAGGTCGATCAAAACTTTACCACAAAAGTTCAAGGGTAAAATTGGCAATCTACACCGATATACACCTACGACCTCCATCCCCATGCCCGCCTCTGTCCTCTATTTCGTTGCTTTTGCCGCGTATACATATGACTTTAACCCCTTTTCCAATCCTTTGCCAATTGCCAGCACAAAGAGAGAGAAAATTCATAGAAAACACAATTGAATTGTTTACTTTCTCCCACTGCTTTCAATTCTAAAAGGTAATAGCCATTCTCGATTTCTCACTCACATTCACAGAGCAAAAAACTGTGTTCTTTAGCTATATTTTTTCGTGGAAGAATGATCGACTTTTAGTCAAAAAGTATTCGGTGATTCTGTTTCGACTTTAAGTTTGTAATATTTTGGTTTGCTTAACTCTCGATCTCATTCTGTTTTGAAAACCCTAGATTTTTGGAGAAACAACACTGATTTGCTTCCAAATCAGCGTTCTAGTACGCGATTTTTAGTAAATAAATATCGGTAATAATGGGTTTTATTTGACGTTTCTAAAACCGACCTACTTTACCTTTTTCTTTTTCTTTTTTTAATAGTGGGGGATTCGAGTTTTTTTATGAAAATTCTAGTTTGTATTTTCGCGATCTTGGCCAAAAAAAAAATTCTCGTTGAAGTGGCTAGTTTAGTGCTTGTACTTTGTTTCTGAGTCTGGGTCTCTGCAATTTGAGGATTTGATACGTGAGTGTGAATTTTTCACTTTTGTATTGCCATTCTGCTTTAAAATTACTGCGATTTAGTTTCTTACAACCTCTTTATTCTGTAATTTTTGTAGGCTTTCAGATTTTCCCTTTATTCTTTGTGGGTTAAGGCGGCCAAGCCTCATCTGTTCTGCCTTTGATCGTTTATTTATTTATTTGGATTTTAGTTGTAAATTGTCTGTTTTGCCACGCTTGCAGGTGATTGTGAAGATCTGAGTAGTATTTTTTTCTACTACTTTGATGGGGAAGGGTTCAAAGAGGGGTGCATGCGATTCTGCATCACATAGTCTCTTCAAGGACAAAGCAAAAAATCGTGTGGACGATCTACAGGGTATGTTCAGCAATCTGCAATCTGCCAGGAAGGAGAGCCGCACAATTGATGTTGCTGTGCTTGAAGAGCAGGTTCATCAGATGCTTCGGGAATGGAAGGCCGAGCTGAACGAGCCCTCCCCAGCTTCATCACTGCAGCAGGTAGCTATACCATTCGTGCCTCCTTTAATTCAAGTCATATTCCTATCTTGTAATGGTGAATATATACATCACAAACTCCTGATTTGTTGTTAGGTACAGCTTTATCGTGAAGTCATTGAGTGTAGGTATTTCTCAACATCTGGGAAACTGATCTAGTGATAATTAAGTATTTGTATGCGTGTTGTAGCATTCTGATCTGATGTTTAGTATATGTGTGCATATGAAATTGTTGGCTCCAAGTTTCTTCGTGTTTATAATATAAGTTCTGCTTATCAAAATTATACATGGTTGGGGGTCCATGATGTTTATGGATAATGGATACACGTCTGTGCTTATCAATCTCGGCCATGCGTTGCAATAATGAAAGACTATTTTAGTAGGTGTATTATTGTTTCGTGGACATGAGAATTGGAATCTTGAAATGTAGTTTTGAATGATTATTATGATTTATGTAGGGAGGGAGTCTGGGCATGATTTCACCAGATATTTGTAGGCTACTGCTGCTTTCTGAAGAAGAAGATGATGCAACCAGTGCATTAGCTGCACCAAAGCCGGAGCCTGATGTGCAAAAAGTCATGAATGGGTCTACATCTCAGGAGGTGGTATTATCTTTCACTTTAGCTTGGAGTTATATGTTTAAAAATGATTATTTCTTTGCTAGTAACTTTCTTTTTATTTAGAAACAAAATTGCCAAACTTAGAAGAAAGCTTTTGTCTATTATAATTTGGGATTGCTGGTTTATCTTTTATTTTTCATTTTCTATCTTTATGGTTCTTTTGTTCTCTTTTTCCCTGTATTTTTGTGGGGGCATGTTGGGGAATGCATACTTTCTATAGATATGTTTACTAATGGATAAAGTTGTAATTTTTTATTATTCTTTTTTGGGTTACTACGACCACAAGTTAGTACATTATTTAAAAAATATTGTGCAACTATTATGCCATAGATATTTCATATGTGATTAAATGCTTTATGCCTCTTTGAAATTTTTCCTCGCATGTGGTCAGTGGTGGTGGCCTTTCCTAAAATAAAACTTTATTCTGTTTGTCTTGTTTTTATATTACACGACTTATGCACACTTATATATATGATCTATCTTTGATAAGAATAATTCTATGTTGACCATCAGCATGTAATTTCATTTTCAAATTATGATATATATATTCCTCTCTCTCCATGACTTACAAATCTTTTATACAATGGTTTCTGTTTCTTAATTGTACAAACTCGTAGTTGCTAAGATTGATGTTGCGTTCCAACCAGATGAAATTAACTGTGGCTTGTGTACCCAGGTTTCATTAACTGGGCAGAAATTCTTTATAATAGCCTGTTGAATTTGCAATTTCTTTTGTTTCCTCTGTAGTTTCTCAACGTTCCTGTGTCAAGTGAGCCTTTTCATTCATCAAACTGAACCCCCCCCCCCCCCCCCCCCCCGGGGGATTCTGTCTCTTTTTCCCTTCAACAATCACTAACTGGTTCACTACGTGCTACCCCGAGCATCCCATTTTCTTCTGATTTGTTGAGTATTTAGATGGAAATTAAGTAGTCTTTCATTTTTCTGAATGACTCTAGCTGAGGTCTTCTGCTCACGAACTGGTTCGCCATGCGTTTTTCTGAAATTCATTTTTCTTACAATGTGTTGAACATGTTCGCAGAAATCAAGTTGATTTTCATTTTCCACATTATTCTAGCTGAGGTCCTTACCAGTGAACATTAATAGTCATCCCATCTTCTTAATTAACTTGTTCTCTTACAAGAGGAACCTCTCCCCTGCCAATAAATGATTTACAGTGTTGCTCCCTCTGTTTGTGGGCCTAAACTGATGAACTCTTTGGCTAATCCAAGCTAGTTTCTTTTTACCCCTCTCCATTTGTTCTATATGGTAGTTCCCTATTCTATGTGCTATTTTTATTTTTAGAAAAACCAAGAACTACCAGATCATTCTTTATGGTATACGTGTTTTAATTCCCATTTTCACATGCACTATGAGGTAATCAATTATATTCTTTCTACATGGTTTCCTGTTGATCTTTTTGTTTGTGAAGTTTAAACTAGTTTGTTTCAAATTGCCCCTGTTTACTCATGAAACATAATAAGAATGTCTTGTGCTGTCTTCTTCACTATTTTGAACTTCAAAATGATTCTAATCGGCCGAAGTTCATTCTCTTGTTTGGACCTGTGCAGTGTTTCAATTTACCCAAGGGACCTCAAGAACAAAGCTTCCAGATGGTTGACCAGTGCAAAAGCATGGTTCCAGGAGTTAACAACATGGGGATTAATGTAATTGGTCCTGCAACACAATTGGAATATCATCCATTCCAATTTCAAGACTTTGAACAGAACTACTTGTCTGGGTTTGACAGCACGTGTTTTGTTGGGGAGGATGCTTTGCCTTGTATTTCTGGCTACTCACAAAATATTTGCCCTCCACCTTCTGCTTTCTTAGGGCCAAAATGTGCCCTCTGGGATTGTCCGAGACCTGCACAAGGGTCAGACTGGTGTGAAAAGTCGAATGACTACTGCAGTAATTATCATTCTTGGCTTGCACCTACAGAAGGCTACCCGGGCATGCCTCCTGTCATAAGACCAAAAGGAATTGGCTTAAAGGATAACTTACTATTTTCTGCTCTTAGTGCAAAATCACAAGGAAAAGATGTTGGTATTCCAGAATGTGAAGGTGCAGCTACTGCAAAATCTCCTTGGAATGCACCTGGTTAGTAGTTCCTTGCTGCCTTTTTTCCTATGCCTGCTTATGCCTTAAATCATTTTTGGCAGATAGAAGAATATTTCTATTTTCATTGTAATGACTGATTTTGTTCTTTGGGTTCGTCAGAGCTATTTGATCTTGTGATTATGGAAGGTGAAACAATCAGGGAATGGCTGTTCTTTGACAAGCCTCGCAGAGCGTTTGAGAGTGGTAACAGGAAGCAACGATCATTGCCTGATTATGTTGGACGTGGTTGGCACGAGTCAAGGAAGCAAGTGATGAATGAATTTGGAGGTTTGAAGAGATCCTACTACATGGATCCACAACCCATGGAAAATTATGAGTGGCACCTTTTTGAATATGAAATCAACAAATATGATGCATGTGCTTTGTATAGATTGGAAATCAAGCGAGTAGATGGGAAAAAGATTCCTAAAGGGAAATCAAGTAATGATTCTGTGGCTGATCTGCAAAAGCAAATGGGAAGACTGACTGCTGAATTTCCACCTGTCAGCAAGCGCCCTGTTAAGGGATATGGAAAGGTGAATACGAAGGACAGAACTGGTGGCATTTATCCCGCTTCTAATGCAGTGGAGCCTACAGAGGAAGGATTCGATTATTATCTCGTTGACGACTTGAATGGCTACTATTTGACTTGATAGAAAGACATTGATGCATCTGGAATAAGAGATGATTTGCCATTGTAGTGTATATCATTATATCATTCACTGAATCCACTGGGCCATAAGGCAAGGAGTGGAATTTTCAAGTTTCTACTTATTATTGACTTCTGGTCCTTCGCAGGTTCTAGTTTCCCTCTCGAGACCTCAGATTCCTGGGTATAAATAGTTCATTGTCATCTAAAGTACAGTGCACAACTGACTTTTTATCTTGGACCATGTTTTAACTGTTAGTAGACAGCGGCAAATGCCGAGGATGGTTAGATGTGAATGCACTTGGGATATAGAGTATGTAGTTGAAGGTTGACAATATTAGCTGACATGTATGCTATTACTGATCATCATATATGAAGCATATATTATCTTGACTTTACTCTTTATGTTCGCATTGGACTTGTATCGGTAGTTTTCTATGGCGGTATCAGAGTGGGAAATTGTGGGGGTTGTATTTGTGGGTTGATCGCTGCACAGAATTAATAGCTAAGCTGATCATCTCTTATAGCCCCAACAGATGGCTGACTTGTAGCCTTATTTTTCCCTCTATTTGGGGACTTGAGTGATCATCTAACTCATAAATGGTAATTTTACATGTCTTTCTCAGAGCTTCCATGGAATCCGGTCACTTAAATCGATAAGTGTAACTTGACATAGATATTGATTTGAAGAGAGGAGCTTAAATCTGTACTGAAATTGAAGAACAGTCTTTACTAGGTTCTGGATGTGGTTTGCATTTCTGGTAAAGAAATAAGCTTTCCATGGTGGCGTTTTCTACTAGTAGTATAGTATAAGCTTCCGTTTGGCCCCCATTAAGTTCCGTTATATTACATTTCATTTTTCTCTTTTATTTTCTACCACACAATCTTCCATAAAAATAATATTAAGCATATATTGAAAAAATTTCCTACTTTTTCAACTACTTATTTTTCAAAAAAATACTATTCCACTCATTTTAAAAATGGGGGCCAAATAGGGGCTAAATTACAAGTTTGTGTCTTTAGTCACATCTGTTTTTTGTCTCTTGGATAGGGTGTATTTGATTAACTTTTTAGTCACCGCTCATTTCGAGGAATGGTTCTAGGAGATTGACGATCTTGGCACATCAACAATCAAGCCCTTATTTGAGCCCTATTTTAAGGGAAAGAATGTATTTTAAATAGTGATTGATGAGAAATGTGTGGTTAAAAATTAAGAAAAAAAATTTAAGTTTGCGTGTAATATTATTTTATTGAAGAATTTGTAATTGAAATTGAGTTTTGAAAAAATAATTTTTTAGACGAATGAGGCTGAAATAAGGGTTTAATCAATTTTTCGGTATAAATTGTAGGGGAGTTGTACTGGATTTAGAATTGCGTACCTTTTCACGAATGACAGTAAGTTATATAGGGCCTGTTTGAACAATATTATTTCAAAAAAATACTTTCTTAAAAAGTTATTTGACATCATTTTAACCACACATTTTTTAATAAAATAATATTATACGCTTATAAAAAAAATTTCCTTATTTTTTAACCACACATTTCTTATCAATACACTATTTAAAAATGTATTATTACCAAAATAATGTGGCTCAAATACCCCAATGGTAAAAAATAGATTACCTTACTCTAGATGTGCCACTAGTAAGTGTTCGGCTCGAACCATAGTAAAGTCTTAAACCAAATCCAAGATATAAAGTTGTCATGATCATATCTAACCCAATTTGATTGGCTCACCATTGCCTAGCAAAATCCAATCAAATAGTACAGATTCATCTTGCAAAGTGTACGCTGCAGAAAAATATAGGGGTAACACAAGCAATTTGGATAGTAGGTTGATTAAATATATTCACACCATATTTTTTTAAAGGGAATTATAAAAAATGACACTTTTTTGAAAATTGCTATAAAACTTGAGGTGCACTAAATTTTATAAAAAAATGTCACTTTTTGGTGGAAAATATCCAAATTACCTTTAATCTCCCCTTTTTAAGAGCATTAAATGCTCATTAATAGTAGTTTCCAATCCAATCAATTGTAATGATTTCATTATTTAATTTATATATTATAATGATTTGGTAAATGTATATTATATTGTATAATATGAAATTACTAAAAAAAAAAAAAAGACGTAAAAAAATTTCAGGAAGCAAAAAAAAAAGATAAAAGAAGCAAAATAATTATAGTTTACATCAAATACATCCCTTCTTGAAGAAACCCTCCATTTTCTTTCATCTTCTTTATTTTTTCATCAACAATATATTGCTATTCAATTTATCATCCATTTGGAGAGGTTAGTTATTACAAATTATTTATATTTTTATGTAATAGCTTATTATTTTTCACATATTAAAAGCAACATGATCATTAAAGTGAAGAAAGCATTTAAAACCATTATTAATGATGATGGTATTGTTTTTTCTTATTCAAATCATTTTAAAGGGGAAATATATCAAAAATATTTAGGCAAATATCAATTATTCCATATTTAATGAAGCAATCATTTGTTTATGGAGATCTGTAGAGCAATGAAATAATTGTTGTAGTTAAGAATTGATTATAACAATTAATATTTCGGAGAAAGTAACAAAAAAAATGCCTTAAACTTGTCGACGGTCTCGACAGTTTATTTGTCAATCTCGACGGTTATAAATGTCGATCTCGACATTTAGAAACTGTCGAGATTGACAGATAAACTGTCGGGATAGAGTTTTAAACTGTCAAAATCGACAGTTGAAAACTGTTGACACCCTTCATTTCACATTCTCCTATTGCATCGGTTTAAATATTCGAAAGTGCCCCTTCGATACTACTACATATCGACATATTGATTGTTCATAATTCTTACCGTTGTAGTCCCTTTATTTTAGGTATGAACACCCATTTGAGATTCGTTGTGTCACATGGGGGAATGTTTATTCACGTGGATGACGAATGGAAGTGGACATGGGACAAAACCACATCCATTTTAGTGCCGAGAAATATTACCCTAGTCAGACTTCTGTTATGGTTGATGACAAACTTGGCATTATCGATCCGCACACCGAAATGAAATTGAAGTTCAAAATCCCGAACATGAATATATCGCCAGTTGAAATACGTGAAGATGAAGACCTCATGTGATACATATCTGTTCATACGGAAACTGCTCTGTGCGTTACTATTTTGGAAAAAAATATGCAAACTGTTGACATGGGGAGGGATACGAATTTGCATGACCATTTGTTTGCCGCAACGGATGTTCACCAGAACTTAGAACACGATGACATTAATCATGAGCCTAGTTCCCCAATGAATAATGCAGTCGAAATGGCGAATTTCGATGATGGGGCTGCACCTGTAGATGATATGTTGGACGACCCATTCAATGGTATTGACGCTGCTAGTATTGTAGACGTTGACACCCGATTGTCACCACAACATATTCGGGGTACAGACTAATGGATTATGGCTGTGGATACAATCGATTTTGTTGAACAGCAAATATTCTTGAGCAAGAAAGAGCTGTACTCGAAAATTCGTGTACTTGCTTTGCAAGACAAGTTCGAATTTCATGTCAGTGGGTCAAGCAACAAAATGTTAACCGTTGCATGCGTGGACCGTAATTGCAAGTAGATGTTACGTGCTTCGAGTGTAAAACAGACTTCTATATTCATGATCCGAAAATTCAACAATGTGCACACATGTTCGGTAGATATCCGTCATAAAGCACATCGACATGCCACTACTTTTGTAATTACCAAGCACATTTTGGGAAAATTGGATAATTCATACCGATCGTACGATCCTACCGCTATTGCACGAGACATAGAACGCGAGTTCGGTGTCAAAATAAGTTACCAAAAAGCACATAGGGGGAAGGTGGCTGCTTTACATATGCTACATGGTACACCGGGGGATAGTTTTCAAAAATTACCTTCCTATTGTCACGTTCTAGGAGAGCGTAACCCGAGGACAGTAATCCACATCGAAGTTGATTCCCGTAACATGTTTCATTACTTCTTCCAAACTTTCGGTACAAGCATTCGTGGCTATATGAGCTACTTGAGGCCCGTTATTTGCGTTCATACAAAGGTACACTTTTGTTGGCAACCAGCTAAGATGCCAACAAACAGATATATCCCTTGGCATGGGGGATTGTTGATGCTGAAACAAATAGATCGAATTTAGTCCAGCGGTAAAACAACGCAAGTGTAATATTTCTATTCAAACGAGTTGCACAAACTTCTCGGGTCGAAGAATTTGAAAGACTTATGGGACAGATCCGTAGGGTAAGTGCAATAGCGTACGTGTACTTAGAGCGAGTAAGTTTCTCATTTTGGTCACGAGCACTGTTTGTTGGTCAAAGGTACAACATTTTGACAAATAACAATGCCGAATCTTTGAACTCAATGTTGAGACATGCCCGTTCATTACCGATCGCGTGCTTGGTCGAACACATTCGACAAACTATGCAGAAGTGGTTTCACGAACGTCGAACCAGTGCAACCACATGTATTGCCATGTTGTCGTTAAAGATGGAGAACGAGTTACGGACAACGTTTCAAGCAGGTACAAGGCTTCGAGCTCATGGCTTGACAGAATAGCTAACACAGGTTGGAATATCCAATGACACGGACATCGTCGACTTCTCTGATAACAGCTGCACTTGTCGTAAGTTTCAAATTAATCGTATGTCATGCGTTCATACCACTTGAGCTGCGTGCTTGCGAGGTATGTCATTGTACGACTTATGCTCACTGTATTACACATCGGAATACTGGAGAGGTGCCTATAGCGAGGCTATATATCCCGTTATGCGTGAAGTGGACTGGATAGTCCCAAACGAAATTACATGTACTCCTATTAGGCCACCCAATGTATGTCGTCCTCCAGGTAGACCACCCACAAGGCGTCAGCGATCCAAATTCGAGTCCGCCACACGACTCAGGAAATGCACTCGTTGTGGTGGACTAGGTCATAATCGGAGTACATGTTCGATATCGATATATGAAATTAGAACAACTAAGTTCGGCATCTATTTCTTCTAAAAGGACTTCTAGGAGGACAAAAACAATATCAATTAGCTTATTAAATTTCATTGTATACAGATATTAGAGTGTAGATGAATGTGCTATTAGAAGAAATAAATAATAATCTACCTTTTGTGTCATCTGCAACAATCTGTTGCAGTTGCAGGGGTGAAGTATTATCTACACTAAATTCAAGCATAACCCCAGTGCTCGGGACACCGTTTGGTAATTTTCCCTTTTCTCGAAGAGACTTTCGAAACCCAATAACTTAACAACCAGACTGAGTTTTGAAAGTGGAAGAGGCGGAGGATTTTCTATTCTACTTAAGCAACACATAAAATTATTTCTCCAAAGATATGCTAGAGAACAAGCAAACATAGCAAAAACTAAAAGTTTAAATAATTTCTTCAAAGAAGCATCAGCATTTATTTGCAAAATGGAAAGAACCTTCTTTTAATTACCTAAAATTTTATACACCCATGAACTCTTTACAACCAAAAATCAAAAGTTTAAAATTAGTAACAATGCCCCAGAAACAAAAAGGGGCTCATATAGATTACAAATACACAACAATGAAGGTGTTGACTAGCTTGAAATTACTGTCAAAGATCCAAACCTAAATGAATAATAACAATACGTAGAACAAAAACACACACATTTACCCATACTACAAATATACACATATACATACCGTATTTGTGAAAGTTGTTGGAGATAGTCTTTTTGTGGATGGCGGAGAGAGGGTTCTTCTTCGGGTCGACAAGCCGATGATGCCGTTGGTTTCACTCCCTCCCCTAGAGAAATCTGTATTAGATATCTCAAATCTTTGAAAAATAATCGTCGGCGGTGGTTACGATGGTCATCGTCGGGTGGGAGGGGGGCAATTCTAGTGAGAGAGGGGAGTGCGTGAGAGAAAAGGAGTGCGTGAGAGTCGGTTTCTTTTTTCTCGTTTCACCTCCTCCTTTTTTTCATTTTATGTTTTCAACATTGAATAAACCCCAAACCCTGACATGTCACAGGTTTTTCTACAATTTTTAATGGACTAGTCATATCACATTTAATGAAGGATATATAAGGTATTAAAATTATTCAGATGGGCAAAGCAATCCGAAAATGACATTTTTGATATGGTTTTAAAAATGTGACATTTTTGATAATGCAAAGTGAAATTTTGACACCCAATGTAATTTCCTCTTTTTTTAATAATCGTATTGCATGAACAGTCCATGACCTTTACACAAAATAAATTTTATGACATTAATTTTTATTTTGCATTCTTATTCTCAAATTATCACATATAGTCCTTTGACCTTTTACGTCCACAAATTTCTTTAAGATGAGGTAAAAAGAGTTATTTGTTCCCGTATTTTTAAATAAGCCAAAGAAAAAAACAAATACAAATTAAGACTCAATATTTATCCCTTGTTTTAAAGCACACTGATATTATTTTTCTACAAAAATTATCTATTTATTCCTCATATAAATTATGCAAATTATACTTCTGAGCGAAAATCATGCTAGATATTGAAATGTTGAAAATAATGATACAAAGAAAAATGTATGGTGTGTTTGATTGTAAGCATTGAATTTGCACGTAAAGAAAAGAAATTTTAGGCAATTGAATTGCCTAAAAAAGTTTTGCATGAAAATTGTCAATTAAATGTGTTTGATTGATTTTATTTTCAATTTAGAAAATGTTATATTTGTCCATTTTCTATTGGTAGGTAGATAAAAGAGAAAAAGAGAGTGAATTACTTGGAAAATAAAATTCTACTCCTTTAATGAAAATATTTTTCTTGTTTTCAAAGAAAATATGATCACATGATCAAAAGTAGGAAAACGCTTTACATGAAAAAATTGTTAATCAAACAGCTTATAAGTGAAAATTTGGATAGAAAAGAAAAAGACATTTATCATTAAAAATATTGACAACTAATAAAGTCAATTTTTAATAAGAGGTAAAAGGAAAAACATAGCCTCCCGTTTAACCCTCATTTTGTGGAAATGAATATGGGTGAAATAGTGTTGATTTTTTTGAAATATGAATGGTTGAAAAAAATGGAATAATTTTTTATTTATGTGTAATATTTTTTTTTTTTAAATTGTGTAGTTAAAAATAAAAGGGAAAAATAAAATGTAATCAACGGGGGGCAAACGGGGCTATAATCTGTACTCAAATGCGCAAATAAGACCTAGCCGAGCTTCCATTTTCGTTTACGACCTGCAAATTCAATGGCTTTTTCCACACCCACTCTCTTTTCCCTCCACTCTCCTCCCTTAAAACCCTCAATTCCATTTCTCCCCATGCTCCCCGTCAAACCATACAAATATCCCCACTCTATTCTCTCCTTCTCCTCTCACCGGCCATTCTCCCAATTCACTTCTGAACAAGCCATCCTCGAAGCGGTAGCCGACGCTGACGCTAATGAGAAGTCGCTCCCAGCCGTCAGGACCTATGAGAACGACTTGGCTCGGCTCACCCTCGTTGGCTCCGTCGATTTCCAGCAGGCGCTCACTGCAGCTGCAGCTGACGGTGGAGAAGCCGCCAATGAGCATGTCTCTGCTGGCGTGCCTGCTATGGTTATTGAGACTGTGTTTCCCGGGCATGGTGATGAGCATAGTACTGTTTCTACAAGACTGGTAAGTGTGAAAGATGAATTCATAGGAAAGTTAATAATTGTTGTTTTTGTAGTTAATTCAACATATTGCTAGTAGTTGAAGTATGGAAATTCTTGTTTTTTTTCTCTTTTTATTCCTTCAAGTTACATATCAAATAGAACTGAGTCAATTAATGAAGTTGATTGAATGGCTAACGTTTAGAACATATCTTACAGTGCGTCATGTTCTATTATAATCATAATGCTTCAGTCAATGCTGTAAAAAATAGCTTAAATGCATTACAAAAATGTATCTTTGTGTTGTGCATTGTTGGGAGACTGATTTCACTACTAATATTGAGAATGTTTTGTGTTTGATTGACTACATCTTAGTAGATGCACATTACTTTAACATCTTCCTGCTCTGCTTACTGTGGGACCAATTCATTTACTAGGTAACGAGTTATCAACATTTTTATCCTATTCTGGGAAATTGAATCCAAGTTTCCTTATGTTCCCAAAGATATTGTGAAAAGTTTCCTACGTATTCCTCCTTTCTTAGCCTTAACGTTGATATGAGTAGAATCTCTTCTTTTCAAGATTGTTTTCGGTGACCTGCTTTGAACATTGAAAAGCTATCCAATGATGTCGATTTTTAAAAAATGCAACTATTTATCCGTTTCTAATTTTACATTTTCTTCTACTGCTGCATGTCTCATTGCCAAAGTTGGACGTTTAAGAAGAATTGTACAATGCATCCTTCTGAGGTTTCTCTTATATATATATATATATATATATATATATATATATATAATTACGGTTGATACGAATTTCACTTACTGGAAGAAGGGTGTCCTCCTGTTCATTTTTATTAAAGAGTGGGTTATTCAGCTGAACCTTTTTCATTATTATTATTATTATTATAATTTTAAGTAATGAGTTTTATTTTGGATCAGTTGCAATTGTTGTTTCTTATCACCAAGAAGATGGCAACTTCATATCGGAATATCTGTCTTTTCTCTTAAGATTTTTCTTTTATTATCACCATTTTTATATTTGTTATTTTGTCAGTTTTTACCAGCTAGGAGAGTTAAAGAGAAAGCTATAAAACTCAAGAGCTCTCTGACCAAAGATATGTTATCCAGTACCACGTCGAAGAATATACTTGCCATGACCTTTAGACAAGTTGTAATACAACAACTCTGGAATCTTGAACTGTCACTTTTTAGACCGGGAACAGAAAGAAACATGGACAACCTTGAAAATCCAAGAGAGGTAAGGTATCCTCCCCCCCCCCCCCCCCCCCCCCTCTCTCTCTCTCTCTCTATCGGATTATGAGAATTTCCTTGTGGCCTCATTATTTTGTGGTAATATCATATTTAATGTTTCTGTTCTGCAGGTGCCTCGTCATACTGATGGATTGAGTTCTCTTATTCCCTTTCCTATGGGCAGGTACCTGCATCTTTTACCCTTACCTCAGTGGATGAAGAAGTCAGTTCTGCGATTGCAGAAGTTATTTGCCTTGCTTCCCTTGAAAGCACTGAGAGAAACTTCTATCACTACTCAACAAGCAGTGCACCGAATAAGTTTTTCCATTGGTTTAGCAAACCTAAACAGACTGTATCACAAGATTCAACTGTAGTTCTGTACAACTTACTTGAACATGAGGTGCTTGCAAATGCCAAGGTTCTACTAGAAAAGTTTAGTGCTGAAAGAGCAAAATATATGCTTAAGGAGATGAAATTCAAGAACAGTCTGTTAGCATCACCAGCATATGCTGAACTGGAAAAGATGGGTGGTTCTGAGTTTGGTGCTTGGATAAGTGAATATGTACCTTCGTACAGGCTGGAAATCGATGTAGGTAAACTTAGGGACGTAAAGTTCAAAGGGTGGAGCAAATCTGCAAAAAAAGTCTGGGAAGTTATTCTTACCCACTCCCAAATGGTATTTTCGCCTCTTTTTTTGCTTTTCTTTTTCCTTAATGCTAGGGTCATTTTAATTTGTGTGAAGATGTCTGCTGAACTTTTTCTTTCCTTCGATGTGCAGGTGTGTTTGGCCAACATACTCGATATGTACTATGAGGATGTGTATACTCTGCCCGATAAGAAGTTGTCATGTCATACAATTGCAAAGTCTTCAAGTTTGTCCCCCAACAAGGTATCTTTTTGCATTCCTCTTTCCATTGCTTTGATTTCTTATTTCCAATTGTAAATTGAAATCATATATAACTCCCTGTCTCTCAATCTTATGGTAATCTTTTTCCTCTTTATACATCAATTTGGATTCTTAATGTGTTCACTATCATATTCATTTTCATCTTTTGCGTAATATATTTTCTAGTGCATCATGCAGATTGTTCTCTTTGTTACAGGGAAGTTCTCTGTTGAAGATGTTCTCCATTGCTCTTGCTGGTGGGGTTTTCCTGGTTTCCATCAGTATTTTAGGAAAATTTTGTCTGCCTTATCTGCCTAGCGGAAAAAGGTTTATTCGGGAAAATTGTCTGTCCCAATCATCTCATATTAGCAGTGTTCAGCATCAATCTATGGACTCTTGTAAGGTACGCAGACTATAACAGTATTATTATGTGTTGTCTGATTGTGCTTCAGGCATCATTATTTCTGTTGTTGACTTCATCTTTTTTTTTTCTTCAACGCTTTAGTGACTATAGTGCATGGGAACCAAGATTTATTTGAACCAACAGAATATCAATTTCTTCAAAAAATTTCGATATTTTATCCCCATGTTCAAGATTTATGATCGATTGCTGATAATAATAATTCTTCTAAATGGGTCAATGGCCTATGTTCATCTCAAAGTATGTAAAAGAGTTTTTGATATTTAGTTGGTGTCCGGATTGGCCACACGAATGAAACTGTATGATGCCATATTTTTAAATTGCCTTTCTAAAATGTGGATGTGTATCTAAATAGAGTTTGACTTGATGATATTTGGGTTTGGTAGGAGTTAATAAGCCACAACACCTTGCTGAGGTGAAAAGATACATTTTGGTTCTGATAGGCAACATAATGTCACACACACACATGCACGCATGCACAGAGAGAGAGAGAGCGTAAAAATCTCATCTTGCTTTGTGTTGGTGGTCACTGTTATGTGTATCGGTGGGATTTCACCTGTACTTTTCTAGCATATTTCTGATTTATTTTTTTTTTTTTTTTATTACTAGTTGGAAGCTCACTGTGTCTCAGTAATTAGAAGAATCAAGGATTCTTTTGGATGGCCTGGTGAAATTCTGACAAACTCTAGTCATTGTGCATGGACTGGAGAACTCCCAATATATCTGAGGAAGATGGACGATATTGCCTCCAATATTTTATCCACTTCTCAATTGTCAGAAGCAACTGATGAAGAGGCAAAAGCATCCTTACAAGATATTGCTAGTTATCAGGTAGTATTGCTAAAACCCAGTGCATTCCAATTCCTTTGATTCTTAAATTATGATTGAACAAGTGGCCTTTGATGATGTGAAAGAAAATTGTATATGCTAAAAAATAGTTTGCTTTTAAGATGCCCAGATACTTTTTCATGCCGGTACGTATGAATATGATTGGCCATTTCCTAAATAAATGGTTAAAAGATGGAAACGGTAACTACTATAGGTTTGTGGGAGTATGTATCACTCAATTTGCAAGTTGATCATCTCCATTAGAGCTAATGATTTGTACTGGTTCATATTACGCGTTAGGAGATTGAAGAAGCTTAGCAAATAACTTCTGAATTGTTTCTTGTTTAAAAGCTACAGAGTCAAGTACATATTTTCTATATTTTTTATACGCGGAGGTTTGATTTGTTTGTTTTCTTATTCTTTTGTTATCGTTTTACTTTCATTTTATTGGGTTGGTGGGGGTTGATAAAGACTGAGCAGAATGTGTTTCCGGTCATGTGGTATGGAGCTGATTCATACTGCCCATTTAAGGGCATTACCCCCTTTGCAAACTATCTCAGTTGTTTGGTTCTGGAACAAGGTTTCAAACCCCAGTTTTGGAAGAATTCAACGTGTAGTTATAAATAGACATTGGCCTAAAATTGTTTTACGACACATTGCTGTTTATGTAGAGATACTAGTTGATGGTACATCTGTTCTCCTTGTCGATGTGAAACAATTCTCTTTCGATTCTTGACATTACCATGCTGTATATCTTCTCTAGAATTTTGAAGCATGATACTAGTATGTGATCTTATTTTTTTATTTGCTTTGTTCTTCATACTGAGCAGGTGGTGTTGTCATCTGATGGGAGTATCAGAGGATTTCAGCCTACTAGTCGTGTTGCAGTTAATCATTGGGCAGCAAACCCGTTAGCCAAAGAGCTTTATGGTGGAAAAAATCTTTCTCCAGGTGAATATTTCATTGATGTGGTTGGAATTTTAACAGATAAGAAGAAGAAGAATAAGAGGATTAACTGAGAAGAAGAAGAATTATAATAGGTTTTTAGCTGCTTCCTTTATTAACAATGCTACCGATTATTTATAATAGTCTTAAATGGTTGGAAGAAATAAACTATGCTAATAATTAGGAAACAAACAACAACCCACTAACAATTAGGAAACAAACAACCCACTAAGCTAAACTTCATGGCTATATTAAATGGAACAAACAAACTGACTGAGTCCACGACACTATCCCACGTGTTGACTTTAGAAGATAACCACAAACATTGGAATCATTTGCATGGCTGGCTTTGTGAATGGTGGACAAATACACCCACATTTCCACTCCCAGCTTCCACTTCCAGCCTCCACTTCAATCTGGTGCCTTAACAAAATTATTTGCATGGTGACACGTATCATTCATCTCAACTAATTGCTGTTTTGCATAACGTTCAGTCGATTACTTACTCTCATCATTCATCAACTAATTGCTGTTTTGCATAATGCTCAGTCGATTACTTACTCTCAAGAACACTTTCGTGCAGGCTTGCTAGAACCTGGTCTCAAGATCAGCCATCCAAGTGAGGTGATTGTATTGGAACTGTTGATGTCAGTGAACCCCGATTCCTATTTTGCATTCGTCCGGCCCATTGACATTGCTGGAAAAGTTGATGTATAATAGAACAAGCAATTATGCTAATTTAGGTAATACTTTTGAATGGGAATCTTCGTCATCAACGCCTGCTGTTTCCCGCCCCAAGTCATCGTATGAGAAGATTTATGTGGTTTTTTCAGTTTCTTGTTTATGATCCTGAGAATTAGCTGCTGAATAGGGGAACTAAAGAATCCACTAGGAAGCACGTCGAAAAAAGCAATCTGTTCATGAAATCAACCTTCTGATTGTGGATGCCCAAGTGTACGACCAGAGTCGGATTTCGAAGGATTTTCTATCTTTTTGGATAATTTTTTTTCCATTTAAATTAGTGTACATTTCATAAAGATTATAATCGCTTCTAAGCTGATCAAACTTTAATTTATCCTTTTATCTACATTTTAAGAACACATTCATTTAGTCTTGTGACTCGTTAAACTCTTGGAGGTTTTGATTGCTTGATCTCCATTTTAGGGTTCATTTGGCAAGATTTTCGCTTCTTCTAGAAGAGCTTCACGAGGGAATGTACTTGAAGTTAGCTTCTTTTAAATACTATTTCTAGTGAAATAAAGTGTTTTGAGAAAATTATTAAAACGAGTTCAAAATCGGCTATTTAGTATTAGAAGTAATTTTTGACTTTTCAAAATTCTTACCGAATAAACCCTTAGGCCTTCTTTGATCGCACAAATTTTCCTTAAAAGTAGGAAATTAAATTTCATTTTCCACCTTTTATGCATGTTTAATTGGTCAAATTTTGTTGGCAACACCCCATTTTCTGCCTTTTTGAGGAATTGATTTTCTCATGGATTTTTACTTTTACTTTTAGTTTTTTGACAATTGAAACAAATTCTATTTTCCATTGTAACAAATTGACAATTTTCATTGAAAACAAAGCTAAATGAATATCAAACGATCCAAAATTTCAATATTTTTTAGGTAGAATAGTATACCAATCAAATACATTTAATTGACAATTTATAATAAAAAAGTTCTAAGCAATTCAATTCTTTGTAATTCGTTTTCTTTTCATCCAAATTCTATTTTTGCAATCAAACGAACCCTTCATGCGTTTAAGGAATTCAACCAAATCATACAAGAATCGGTTTTAGTTTTGCCCATAAAACATGGGATGGTGATAGAAGAATAATACGAGGGCGAAACAAGAAATGTAAATATATCATACAATCAGACTAGCTGGTTCATCAAAACGAAGTGCAAACATAGCTTCATGTTTGATAGCCTTCACATTATCATAATATCCCATATGCACCAATCGGGTAACTAGAAACAATGTACAAGACAGAGAGATGAAATGGAAACAAGCAAAAACTATAAAGAGGAACCCTTCTCTACCAACATCACTTCTAAATCTGTGTGTGCATGAAAACACAGGTAAAAATCAGTATGGCTTCTTGAAGCCATATAAATAACACGAGTTAAAATTTAAAAGTGGCGGAGTTAAAATGTGTTGGAAGGCAGGTCCAACTCGACCATGTTGCCCCTGCAGTCAGAAGGTTCGATTTTAGGTGGCACGATCGTGCCACGCCAGGATGTCTGTATAGGCCTGTTTATGTATTAAAGAAAATAAAAGACAATACGAGAGATGCGAAGAAGAAAAACCTGGTTAAACCATACAATTAGACCGTTTTGAGCTCTGACTCGAGGGGCCCATGGCATGTTCGGACCACGACTGTGAAAAAATATTCAAAAATTAGTAAAACTTAAAAGAAGATGATGAAATACCAATTCAATAGTTCTCTCATCTGCAGATGATGGATCAGTGAAAGCCCTAACCAAGTAGTAAAAAGCCCCATGATGAAGTGGCTGAAGTGTGAGCCCCAATTCATTGGTCAAAACAGGCTGACCAGATGAATGCATAAGCACTGCATCATCACCAAATGCCTCCCTAATATTAAATAATTCTCCCACTGCAACCTCAAAGCACACATCATTGATGAACACTGTTGATTTTGTGGAACCCCCTCCTCCTGATTCAACTACACCTGCATCATCACACATCAGATGATTATACACGTCTTTCTTGCCCTCCAAATGGAAATTTTAAATGCATTGCTTATGTATTGTGTAGGGTTCATCACAGTAGGAAACAATGTAGGAGTCAATACATGCTAGGTTCCAAGGGACATGGAACACAATTTTCGGGCAATAGACAATTCCATATTTGCTTGTCTGTTTCCAAATATGATACACATTAGTGAATAGTATAATGTATAAGATTTTAACGTAATATGAAGTCAAATTCTATACAATCTTCCTCAACAAACAAGTCGTAACGTAATTTGTGAACCTATTTGATTCAGACATTTGGTATGAACACAAACAAATTTTGTTCGTTTTCTGTTCGGAAATCTTCTTCTTTAGCTGCGTTTGCACGAAGATCTATATTAAATGGCATAATACTTGCTTAATTATCACAAATATTTGTAACGGATGGCATAAAATTTAGTGTCATGGAAAACATAACCCAAATTTTTCTTCTCAAAAAAAAGAGAAAAAGGGAAATACCTTGAATGTGATTCTTTGGGGATGGGACACAAGGAGTAGGAGGAAAAACATTAACGGAGTGTGTAGAAGTTGGAGCCCTAGTCACACTGTAATTCAGTAGTTGCTGCAATTTCATATTCTCATGGTCATTCTGATTAGCTTTTTTGGACGGCTCATGATTCATCAGCATCAGTTCACTGAATAAGAGATTTGAGCAACAATTTCCATCCGTATGATCTATAACATGATCAGATACATCTGGAAAGCAAAACCCTTCTGTAAAAGCAGCAGTTGATGGGCTTTGTTGCATCGGAAAAAAATAGGGTTCTGCCACAAACTCGCTCGGAGTTTGGAAAATAGATTGGTTGGCTGAACCACTTGGAGAATTGGATACTTCCATCGAACCAGTATATCCAACTGAGAAGATCACCTTTTCTGTTGAATTATTTGGAGGCGATTTATCCGACAGTGGTGAAATTGAAGCGGTGGTGGTGTGAGTTTGTGACTTGGTTTTGTGGAGTTGTCTGTTCTTCTGTTTGCTTCTTGATTTTCTATTCTGAAACCAATAGAAAACATTGGCATCTCCAACTTGGCCATACTGTTGCAATTGAGCCCTAATTTTCCTTATTTCGTCTCTTGGAGGATTCACCATTCCTGAGTTGAAAATAGCTTCCAGCATACGTATTTGCTCGGGTCTCGGGTTCCATCTAGGCTTAGGTTCAGGAGTTCTCTCTTCGTATCCGGGCACTGTGGAATTATGCGATGTCAGAAAAATTCAAGACAGAAAAACTGAAACGAATAATAGGACTCTTATGCAAATTAACTTTCTAACAAAGGATTAATTTGCCTTTCTTATTTCTTCCTATTTGTACAAAAAATTTATTAAGTAGAGCTCACATCAAAGCCCATGCATGATTGATGTAGTCTTTAATTTCTGAACATTCAAGCTGGTTTTAAGCCACCATTTCGAGGTAAGAAGTGTGTTTATCTCCATAAGAACGGTGAGCTTTGAGAAGTGAAGTCGGAAATAAACGCAGAGACAAATAAGAAAACCGAAATTTTGACAAAAAAATAATTCTGCGAAATTAACTACCTGAGGTGTATGGGGTTCTGTGGCAACCAGTTGATTCATGCTGCCATTTGGGTTTGGACTTGAACAAGCTAGGCCAATTTCTATTTGATGAAGCCATGATGTTGAAATGACACAACTTGAAGCTGAAAACGTAAGAGAAAAACAAAGGGCAGAAACAGCCTTAAAATTGTTGCTAGCTTTTCAATGAAAATCTCTGCCTGTATGGATCCCTTCTTATAGACCCTCACCTTTTGCTCCTGTTTTCAGTTCATAAATTATCAATTAAAAAAATAATAAGAAGAAGAAAAAGAAGCAAAAAATAGTAAATATTTAAGCAAAATATGAGGTGAAAATAGGCAGAGATTACGTACATGCACAGGCCCATACCCTTCCTCATAGTACGAGCAAATTCCCCCGGAAGAGAAGCAAAAAGCACACTGAAAGAAGCACTTGCTGTGGCTTATATTAGAATGTTAATCAGAGATGACAGGAAGAGCCCTGAATGCAACAAAATGGGTTACTGATTTTGTGTCTGTTTTCGCATTATTTTTGCAGTTTTGTATATGGAGAGAAGGGACTCTATGGTCCTGTTTAGTTTAGCGAAAAAAATTGATCAAAAAAATCTAAGTCAAAACTAACAATTAATTTTAATCACAAATTTCATGCTATCCACAACTTTAATCAAGTATTCAACCACATATTTCATCAATTTTTTATTTTTTTCTTTAAAAAATCTATTAAATATCTAATTTTTAACAAAACCAAACAGGGAAGGAGCATTAAAGGAGAAAATTAACTTAAAAATTTTGTTACCAAACATTACGCTTGATTATGAATTAGAGAGATACTTCACTCGTGTGATGACAAAGAGTATATACAGAGCTGCTCTCTTCCCCGAATCGGGAAGAGAGCCTTTTCTCGATTTTCAATTTTTTATTCATTTTATTGCCTTTTGCTTTTTTTAATTAAGGAAAAAGGAAAAAATTGATCTTACTTTAAAAAAAATTAATAATAATAATAAAATAAATAAAAATTAAGTTGCTCCTCGCAGCCAGGAGCAAGTGCTCCTGGTTGCCAGGAGAAAAAAAAATTGGACGATTAATTTTTTGTGTCAACATTTTTAATACACGCGTTTGATGTACATTTAACTATTTTCGATATTCATTTAGATTATTCGATGTGTCTATAATATAGATCTTGAAATGAATTTCGAGAGAATATGAAGATTTATGCATTTGACTACCGTACAGTTGTCGATGAATTTTAAAAAAATAGTTAAAAAATGTATTTTAAAATTTTAAAATATCTTAAGGGTACGATTTAAATCGTGTAAAAATTTTTTGTTCAATACCATTAAGAAAAAAGGAAAAAATTGATCTCATACTCTAAAAAAAATAAAATTAAGTTGCTCCACGCAGCCAGGTGCTCTGGCTGCCAGGGAAAAAAAAGGAAAAAACTTGATAAGTTGCTCCGCACAGCGAGGAGAAAAAAAATAATTGATAATAAATTCATAAATTTTATATGTTTTTGTCTTGATTTTCGAGCTTATTATGAGATATCAAATGAAATCGAAATATTACATTCTTAATATCATTTTGAAGTACTCATGACCTAGTATTTCAAGTCGTTAACGGTGCGCGAAATGATCAATCGTAACGAATGTTACGGCGCGTCAAAATAGGCATTTTCAAACTAGTATTTCAAAACTTTCGATACCAAGCTAACTTTAAAAATTCTTCGACGATTGTACGTTAGTCGAATCAATAAATCTTCTATATTCTCTCGAAACTCATTTCGAGAACTATATCATAGATATATCGAATGATCTAAATGAATATCGAAAATAATTAAACGTACATCAAACGTATGTGTTAAAAATTGCGTAAAAATTGTATTTTTTTTTCAAAAAAAAAATAAATTATTTTATTAATATTTATTATTTTTTCACGATAAATTTTTCAATATAATTTAAATCATTTTATAAAAACAAATTTATGTGATTTGACGTCAAATTTTTTTTTTTGGGAAGTAAAAATTCCTAATAAAATTATTATCACTTTATAATTTATGCGTGTTATAAATTATGATACTATTTTTTCATCATCATTATTTTTATATCTGAAAATTTTTTATACATAAAAAAATTCGATCATTTTTATGAAAAAAAAAGACGATTATACGGTAGTCAAATGCATAGATCTTCTATATTCTCTAGAAGTTCATTTCGATATCTATATCATAGGCATATCGAATTATCTAAATGAATATCGAAAATAGTTAAACGTACATCAAACGCGTGTATTAAAAAAATTGACACAAAAAAAATTAATCGTTCAATTATTTTTTTTCTTCTCCTGGCAAGTGCTCCTGGCTGCGCGGAGCAACTTATCAAGCTTTTTCCCCTTTTTTTTTCCTGGCAGCCAAGAGCAACTTAATTTTTTTTATTTTTATAAGTATGAGATCAATTTTTTCCTTTTTTTCTTAAGGGTATTGCACAAAATTTTTTTACACGATTTAAATCGTACCCTTAAGGTATTGTACAAAAATTACTAAATGGGTAGGGCGTGGGCGGGTTAGGGGGTGGGGAGTTGAAAAGGGCAAAAGGCAACAAAATGAATAAAAAATTGAAAATCGGGAAAAAGCTCTCTTCCCGATTCGGGGAAGAGAGCAGTTCTGAGAGTATATATATGTTCAGAAAGAAAGATGTGTAGTTTTTATTTAGCTCTTATATCATAGTCATGTCTTGGAGGTTAGGCTGAACCTCCTTCTAAGCGTGTATATATTTTCTGCCAGTTTGATTCGGATTAAAATCTGATTTTAATTTAAGTCAAAGTCGAACAATCAATATTAACCATATCTTTTATAGGTTTCACAACTTTTCAACCACACGTTCACAATCTTAAAAAAATCTAATTTTAACCCCTACCAACCATTCTCGTTATGTATTTAATAAATAGAGAGTGGAAAAAAACTGGAACTAGGGTTTTGGGAAGCGTTGATTTTTTTAGGTGGAGTTTTTATTAATAGTAAATAATATATAAGCAGAGAATATGAAGTTTGGAGGAGGACGTTGGTTGGCTCTCATGGAGTAAACCCAGTTTATAACACAAATATAATGTCGAGAATATCATAAAATTTTCTATTAAATTTTAATTTTTAGGTACTTGTTTTTATCAAACATGATATATGATTTTAAGTTACTTATTTCGATGCCAGTGCTTTATACCTCATCCAACATGTGCAAACACTGCATGTTATTCAATTATGTAATTTTTTCCTCTTTCATTCCCTTCTCTTTTGTCTGCAGCTCATTGAATATTATTTCTTTACTCCTCAAATCTCATGGTTCTGAAAACATAAAAGAAGGTAGGCAGGCAAGCGATAGGATTTAATCGATGGTAGATATAGTACCAAACATGCTGTGCAAGTTCAATTATTATCTCAGTTTTCCTCTGTCATTGCTTTTCTTCTGTTGTTTCCACCTATTTGTCTACAACAAAAATGGATATTGGCATTAATTCGATTCAATCAATTGGATACTGTTTATTTCACTTCTACTTATTTTGGGTTATAAAAATTTACTTTTCACCCTGAGTTTATTTTGCAAGCTATTTCTACTTATGTTGACCTTTGCATTTATTTCGTTTTTCTTGGTCATACTTGCAAAGAAAGTACACAATGGCCACATTAATTTCATTATGCATACTTCGGGGAAAGTATTTAATTATTTAGTAAATCAAAGCATTTGCTATGAAAGGAATGTTGGTGAGCTTGATTACATTATTTTCTAGGAATTTAACTCTTGAATTTAAAATTTTTGTATCGAAAAACATTAATCATGATTTAAATTATGTGTATATCGCCTACAAAAAATTTAAACAGTTTCATATCTGATACATGATTTGAGTAATTGAATTTTTCTAATATGTATTATCATATTTTTCACCATTATGCACGATTTGATTATATATATATAGACTTTCATTATCACTACAATACAACGAATAAACTTTCATTACTAAGAAATATACGGTCGATTATATAAGTTTTTTTGGTTATTTCATTCAATGAATTTAGACGTACCAAAAAGTATGCCTAAACAAGAACCTTAAATGGCACAATCACACATATACAGTCCCAAATATTGTGAAGACAAACAATTTACAATAGCTAATAACTAAGAAATGGATTATATTTTGTCAGAAACTGGACATTAAACTCTCCAAATACTCATTTCCAAGGTCTTGAAACTCTAACACATCAATATTACTCCTAAACATCTCATTTTCCCAACTGCTTATCATTCTTTTATGTGCTGGTTGTTCATAGTCAAAAGAATCCAATTCCGTCCCCCACTTCCTTTTCTGTGAATCACAACAGCCCAGAAAAGTATCAGTCGAATCTATTGGCCGAGAAGATGATGAAAAATTCATATTATTTTGATCATAAGAAGCCTTAGCCAGAAAAGTATGGGTGGAATCTATTGTTTGATCACAAGAAGCCTTAGCCACTATTTCAAGTGGAAAATTTAGGTATGTCTTGGGGCCTCTAATTCTTAAAGCAGCCTTATCATAAGCCATTGCAGCTTCTTCTGCTGTTTCAAAAGTTCCAAGCCAAATTCTAGCTCCCTTTCTTGATGAATCTCTTATTTCTGCCGCGTACTTTCCCCATGGCCGCCTCCTCACCCCTCTGTAGTGCCTGGTAATCACCTTCTTCTCGACTTTTTTAGTATTAGATTGTACTGGATTCGAATACTTAGTACAATTTCTGTCTGAACAAACATTATTTGAAGAATTCTCCGTACTTCTTGAGAGAATTGTTTCGTCAAGAAGCTCCTCCCATGCCTCGGCTCCCATCGACATCCACTTCCCTAAACTTGGCAGCCTCTCTAACAAGTTCTCCATTGATCGATCAAGATTAGGTAAGTCTTGCCATGGATCAATTGATCCAACGGCCTCCTTTTGTGCATTATCAGTTCCCTTCTCAGCAATGAAATTAGCCCACACATTCTCAAGAATCACTTCGGATGGTACGCTATGCTCACCTTCTATGGCCATACCACCTCGTTACAGATACAACTTTTTTTTCTCACACCAAAACCCTCCCTAAAATTCTTTATATGTAACAAAAACTCAGCAGATATTAGAAAGGTTGTTCTAATGGAGTATTATGCCTATATTTATTGCCCCTATTTGGTCCTAACAGATGCCAGAAAGAAAACTTGCAGTTTACACAATGATTAGCAAACTTCTAGGATGATACTAGGTTGTAGACATTAAGAAAAGTAATTGGCTTTTTATTTTAATCATACTGTGGGTAAACATTCTCTGTATACTAATCATTTATGAGCGTTAACATATGAAGAAGCAATGTTTCTCCTTTATTAAATTGAAAATCCTCTGTACAATCCTTAGTTAATGGTGTGAATGCAGACCTCAAGATAGCATAATAGTAGTAGCTTCTAAAATATAGTCAAAATTCCGCGTGAACATCTTAAATCGTGAAGTTTTTAAGCTTAAGTTGTTAGTTCGAGGAAGAATTTATCCATTTGCGTTCTATGTTCAATTTACATGCCAATTGAATTTAATTTTTCGTTAAATAAGTGACATGAAATTATCATAAACGAGTGGCAGTAAAAGTTCAATAGTGTTAGATAGATTACAAAATATAAGTCAAAACCAGATGGTGTGGAAGGATTTACTTAAAATCCAAGCATGGCATTACTTCAATTTCAAGATTTGAGATATTAAATCAAAATTGGAGATTGGTTCAAACTAAATAAGAATTTAAAATACAAACCACACGCTGATTCATAATATAAAATTAGAAGAAAATAAAGAGTTAATTTCTTAAGCAAACAAACGATTAGGATTCAATGTATTGGAGCAGAGAAAAATAAAGTAATTGTTGCAAGAAACTGCAATTAAATCGATACGCTTTAAAACTTGCAATATCAAGATTTTGTTTTGACTTTTTTCAGATTGCATTTTCGAGTCATTGACTGGCAACCAAACCTGAGTTACGTAGTTATAATTAGCAATGTTCCATAATTCAACTCCAACATTTTGATGAAAAAAAATTAAAAGATCAAGGATTGAGCTCGTCTAGGGATGTTAAATAAAGCAAGTCGGACCATTCGGCAAGCCGATTCTCTTGCACATGGGGCAAGCCAAGCACAAGCCAGCGCATGTAAACAATGTTCAGCTCGGCTCGCGACACGAGCTCACCCCTTGGCTGGCTCGCAAGCCACTCTCAACATACCTCCTTTTTTCTTTTCTTTTATTTTTTTTTGTCGAAAATGGTACATTTTAACTTAAATGCGAGCCATTCGCAAGCCTTGAGCTAGCTCGCACACGAGCAGCCAAGCTAGAATGGTGTGACAACGTTGACTTAAAAAAGAGGCATTAAAAAATGATGTTTATAAGCATTAATTTCCTCTTTCTTAGCCAATGTCTTAATCTTTAATTCTTATAAAGCTATATCTTGACCCTAATTTTAAGTTTCCGGGAACCGTCGCACATACTTGCGGCTTCTACATTTTGAGTTTTGCTTCTGCGTGTTATTCCAAATGTTAATGTAATTTATTGCAGAAAAGAGAAAAAAAATAAAAAAATGCAAGTATGTGCAGACAGACGGTCGTAACACAGTTGTTCTTCCCAATCCATCGTACCGAGGACGTGTCCTTGAACCCTTTTTAGTGATGTCTAGTCCAACAAGCCATACGTGTCACAAGGATATGATTTTTACACGAGATTTCAAGAGGGAAAAAAGTACACAATTATTCATGTTAATTCTTAACTCAAATAGGAATATGAGAAACTACCATATATAATTTCACATTGAATCAAGTTCTAATCTTACTGCTCTTCTCGGGTTCACATCTTTCTTGGCTTCCCCTAAGTTCTTGTTTCAAGTCAACCAGACATCCATTTGTTTGTCCATTGCTTAATAATCACCACAAAGTTATGGTGCTTCAACTGCGCCGCTGGTGTTCCTGAAGTAATCATAAATACATAGGCACTTACTATGTGAAGGTCACAATTTTTGGTAGTCTGAAAAAATTTGTTGACAGTGATTACTATTTACCGGTACATATACAAGTTTTGATTACATGAAGACGTGTGGGCTGTCAAACATTTTAGTGTGGATAGAGCTGTACTCAGCACAACAGACCATCGTGAGGCCTGGTTCAGCCTGCAGGCACGGCCTGCGGGGGCTGGGTCATGCTTTTCCACGCCTGGGATGTGCTGAACCAGGCCAGCCACTGGGCCCATCATTTGTTAGTTTTGGACTTTGGGTTAAGTTTTCTAAGAAACAAAGAACGGCTCTCTGCAACCTTTTGCAGAGACCTCAACTTCAGTCTCTATATAGAGGCCTGCATGGGCCATGGGCCTAGACACTCCAGGGGCGTGTGCAGACTATCTTTACAGGTGACCGGCCCACAGCTGGGCACGGCAGCCCTTGAGTTCATTATGAATGGTCCACACTCACCTGGATGACTGTGCCGAGTCGAGCTGCATTGTCACTGGACCATCATTAACCAAGTTAACCTTCAAACCACGAAAAGGGGGAAAAACATGTGTTAGGCAATTATCCCTAAAAAAATTACAATAGGAAAGAGAACACAAATTCCAAATTATGAAATCTCACTTTCATCATTGCTCCAAATACACCATCTGCATAAAAGAATAAAGCATTAATACGATGCATTTCTTATAGTATTAATTGCTAACAGTATTACTTGATGCAATGACTTAACCCTGAATCAATGAACTTACAAGTCCTCAATATGTTGTAGAATCCAATTATCACCAGTGACAAACACAGACATTTGAAGTTAGTGGAGCACGGTATTGCTGTCTTGTTTTGCCGTTTAAGGTGGTTGAATCACCGGCAGAGGGAGTCGGGTCAGGAACTGTCGGCAGGGGTGGATCAAATTGTTGGGTTTTGCTTCAAAGTTCGGAATTGAGAGCCGCCGAGCTGGGAGTTGGGATTGAAATGGGAGTGGGATGGTTTCTTGCATTGAATTTCAATTTGGATTAGGTTTCTTTGGATTCGAATTTGGATTTTGGGAGTTGAGACGGTTTGGTATTCTTTCAATTGGAAACCGGAAGGGTTTTTTCATTACTCCATTTACGATTTTATAATTTAAAAAAAAATAAAAATCCTTTGTAGGTCCGCCAGTGATTATCACCTAAAAATAGTATTATTTAAAAACTAAATCCAATTTCCATAACATTAAATAAACTAAATCCAATTTCAATAACATTCTGATTCTTAGCCTCCAAAAATACACAGTACACTGCATTTCCACAGGTGGACAAGCAAAAAATGGAGAATTTTAGAAAGAAATTAAAGAAGATCAATTGTCATAAGCTTGCATCAACTAATAATATCATTTAAAAAATGATGTTGCAGTAAACATTACGAGGGAAAGCAACTAGGAGAATATCTATTAGAATGTGGTTTGCATATACACAAATTAAAGATCTCATGCATGCATTGCATCACCAAATGTACTATCTAAATTCTAACACTTTAAAGTTTCACCATAGCTTTTATCGATCGTAGTAGTATTTGATATCCTGGTAAAACAGATTTCTAGATGACCTCATTGTTTAGTTCTCAAAAAATATCTGTTCGTGTAAACCTCTTAGGCAGGACATTCTGATGAACAAAGATCCCACTATAATTTAAGGAAAAAAACTCATCCAAAAATTATTAAAAGGCAATCTGTTAAATTCCCATCTTAAAACAAAATTTAAAGGTAATGAATATAAAAGTGGGCTTTAACGTTTTACGCTCAAATAGCACATCCATCGCTAGTTACATAATATGGAATACTATTGTTTAAAATAATGAATTAAGGACTTCAAAGGCTATAAGATTTCATCCAAGATTTTATATGGACGCTAATGGACATACTTCAAAGAGTCATGAAAACCATATTTAGCCAAACAATGTAGAGATAGATCCATAATAAATTTCTGATTTATCAGTATTTTGGCATTCCAATTATATTCTGCGAGTCCATAGAGCACAAGAAAAATAATCAAGCTCTAAGAGCAAACATAATAATTTAGAAAAGCATTGTAAAGAGACAGCATTAAATAACATATAAGTTTAAAGGTCATGAGAAAATATGTCAAAAAATAAAAAATAAAAATAAAAATAAAAATGATGAAAATGCAAGAGTACCTTTAACTGCATCCATGTTGTAAGCTTTACGAAATTTTTCAACTAAAGAAGCATAAAAAAGCTTTGCTTTCTCGGGGGGCATTGCCACATGAAAATCAGGTTTGTTGCCTTTCAAAACGCCATACAATGTGAACTGACTTACTGTACCAAATACAAACTAACCAATCAGCATCGAAACCAAATAAACAACCGTTGCTTATACTGTTTACAATATTAACCACAAAGTAGTTCAAAAGGTGGGAAAAAAAAAGTTAGAAATGAGCAATTACCTAATAAAACTTCATAATTTCTTTGCATTACCTGTCAATTGACAATGTAGCCATGTAAACCATTGCTAAAAGCCAAAAACAGCAGTATACTAACATAACTCGAGTGTAATTATTTTTATTTTATTGTCTAAAAAGGGGGGAAAATCTTTATTCCTGACCTTGAGCAGAATGCTGAAAATGATTCCATCTTTTGAAAGATTAAGAAAGATATTATAATGATCAAATACAGGTCACACCTCAGATTCATTTACCTTTTCCTTATCAGAAGTTGTAAACTAGAAGAGCTCCAATATATAAAGAACAGAATCTATAAATTTACTTCCATTAATGAATACAAAGCCAAAAGTGTAATAAAAAATAGAAAATTTTGTTATTGCTCTTTTGCGAAATTTAGAAAAGCAAATGTAAAAAAAAATCTCACTTCATACTATTGTGAAATTATATAATTGAAACTGAATATGATACTATATACTAATGTCGGCTGATTGTCCTTCCTATGAATTTTGAATATATTGCCATTTCCCCAAGGTTCTACTTTCAGCGGAGAGGTTTACAAATATTCATAATTGTATTGGTTTTTATAATCTCCTAACTTCACAATGAGCAGGAAAATACTGCTATTATGGATTCCTATCATCTTAAAAAGTATAATCTATTATCATTTAACTTAATTACAATGCCTGAAGAAAACAAATTAATTAATGAATTCCTGCACAGGAAGCATTTGGTAAATTCTGCCTGCATATACTACTAGCATCGTGCATGCGTACAGGGGCAAGAATTAGAAATTACATTTTGGTCCCAAGTTTTCCCAGATTTCTCATTGGGATACAATCTCATGTTCAACACTTTGCGACATCTGCAACCCAACGAAATAACCGTACCAATCAAAACTTCAACACCAAATATCCATTGAAAGGTAAAAATCATTCGCTGAAAGATACATACATGTACTCGGCATCCGATTCCACGTCCGATTCATGAAGCCCAACGAGGACCAACAGTCCCGGTCCAATCGCCGACACCGTGCACCCTTCCACCTGCAAAACAACACCTTGGGCATATCAGCAACCGAAAATAAGGCAAATGTGACAATATGTACTGTGTGTGAAATATTTTTGCCCGACCTCAACACTGGCAGAGGCCACACGCTGTATTACGGCTTTCATTGACTTGATTAGAAGCTTCCTTCTTCCCAAGCCAACACGATTCCGTCGCTTATGGCGATCGATAGCAGAATGGATCGGGGGGAATTTGTGGAGTTGTAAGGGTTTGTGGAAATACAATCCCTGGTATTGGAATGGGATAAACCCTAAATTTGATGACATGGTAAAGTAACTGCCTTTCCATTTTTATTTCTTTTTTTGAATTTAAGTGGACATTAGAAAAATAAAATTTACACTTTTTTCAGGTACTCCTAATGGTTGCAGTTTTCGAACAATGTACTACTGGGACTCGTTTGATCCCAATTGAAAAATATATTTTGAAATAATTGATTAATGAAAAATGTGTGGTTAAAAAATTAATGAAAAGTTTTAAATTTACGCATAATATTATTTGATTAAAGGATGTGTGATTGAAAAGAAGAACGAAAAAATTACATTTTGAAAAAAAAAGGGAATGAAACACACCCTAGTTTATTTAATTAACTAAAGGATCATTTGTTGGACTGATTTATTTGTTGGTTGAACAATCCAATGAGTGTAACCAAATTAAATGGATTGATCCAATTTTCAAAATGGGTTTTGATGTTTGTGAGCTTGACAGCTCAGTGTATAATCCCCCTAACAAGAGGGGGATTCACGATTTTTTTGTTAGACGTGGTCCCCTCTCTTGTGAAGGGACTATACACCGAGCTGTCAAAACATGTACGTGAAGCAAAATCCTTTTAAAATTATACTATCAATGTGCATTACAACTCATTTTTTAGAATTTTTTAAGTCAACACCAATGTTAATAAAAAATTGTATTATATACGAGTCAAATTTGATAAACTTGCTCCCCATTATGATTTTTTCACTTTTGAAATACAGCTCTCCTCGTTCTATTTGAACTGTCACTGGCCATCAAAATTGGTCAAGTAAAGGTTCTTCAAGTTTGAGGTAGATGGGTATAGGGTTTACATTTATTTGAGCAAAAAGTGTGCTTTCACAGAGGATAGACAAGCTTGCAAGGAAGGGTACAATAAGATTAGGATTGTGCTTTCCATCATGCAGCATGTTGTTGAAACTATGAAAATGGACATGCGAGAAGCACGGTCGTGTATTTTAGACATCTGAATCATTAGTAATTGGTCCAAATTTGGAGCTCAATTTCCTTAACCATGAAGTAAAATAAAGTAGTTCCAACGAATAATAGGTGATTAAGGTAGTTCGTGCTTTATCAAAGTTAATATATTAAGGGATGATGACGATTCTCAAAACATTAAAAACTCAAGCACTTAATAAGATGACACTTTCGAATTTGAAGGCGTTGTACTTATCAAGGAAGCAATGTGTGATGTTGAAGCAGCTGGTAACAATTACAGCCAAAAAAGGATATATTTCAAGAACATGGTCTTAGCAGGGCTCGAATCAGTGACCTTCGGCTCATAAGACCAACGCTCTGACCAACTGAGCTATAAGACCCCAAGTATTAATATGTATTTTTCATATTTAAATAGTGGATAATATTCATTTCCATTTGAGTCACGAACTATGCATTTATGTTTGCGGTTAAGTTCAGGATTATTTTTTTTTTCGATTGATAAATGTAAATTCCAATGATAAAAAACTCATGTAAAATTAGACCGGGCATACCCAAACAAATTAAAAAGTCAAAAGATTTACAAATGACAAAGATCTATCAACCCAACATTAGAAATTCAAAATGAACCAAAATATTAGGATACAAAAAAAACATGACTTTGTATATAAGTGTTTTAATCCGTCTCACTGTGTTATCCAAATGTGGCATAAGATGGCAAAAAAAATTTCTATTTCGAGCCATCCATATATAGTAAACTGTACTTGAAAGAGCAATTTTCTTCACTTTACTATGCCAAGATATCCCACAAGCCTCTCTTTTTATCCACTTCAATGTGCTACCAATCATAGTCATTGATCTAGTAATGCCAAGCCATGATTTTATCTGCGTCCAAATGGAGGAGCTCAATGAACATTGAAAGAATAAATGTTGAACCGTTTCAGTTGACGATTCACATAGATCACAAGTTCCATCGAGATTAAGGTACACCAACTTGTCTTTTGTTACGAGCTTAGCTTGAACGCTTAGCCATAGGATAAACGAGTGCTTTAGAGTGATAAAGGATTTACATACATCAACTGCCTATGCTTTATGTTCACTTTTAATTCTAAAATGCTCTTATGCCAAGGAAACTTTAAAAAACTGTCCAGAAATCCAACTTTGCAATCTGTCGATTGCATCTTGTTCGTTCTTGGTGGCCTGCATCTAGCCCTCCCTCATTTCCAGCAGTTTTTGATAAGTGGATAGTCATCTTTCTTGGCTGTCTTTTCCCAAACAGATGCACCGCGTAGGTAGACATGGTTAACCCATCTAAACCAAAGTGTATCCTTTTTTACATGAATGTTCCATAGGGATTTTTGCAAGCAATGCTGAATTCCAGCATTTTATGTCTCTAAAACCAAGTCTCCCTTCCGATTTCAGTAAACCCAAATCTTTCCAAGCTACCAAAGGCTTCTTAGCCCCCTCTTAAGTAGACCACATTTAGGGTGAAAATTAAACTCACTATTATCAGTTGCAACCTTCAACATTTTTGAGAAATATTCAAGGCATAGAACAAACAAGAAAGGGGAGAGATGATCTCCCTGCCGAAGTCCCTTTCTGCATTTTATGAAACCATGTAAACTACCATTCAATGCAATGGATTATGAAGGTGTAGTGATACATTCCATTACCCAGTCAATAAATCTTGGAGGGAAGTTCAACCCAATAAGGACGTCTTTAAGGAAACCCCAACTTACCTAGTCATATGCTTTACGAAGATCAATGTTTAAAAGACATCTAGGGGAGACTCGCTTCAGATTATATTGTCTTAACAATTCTTATGCAAGATGTATATTTTTCGTCATACTCTGTCCCTTGTTGAATGCGGCCTATGCATGGTCAATAATATTCTCAAGTATCTTTGTGATAACTTTGTAGAATATGTTATAGCATGCAATAAGTCTAAAATCCCCAACGGTAGGTGAGTGGCTCGACTTAGGCACTAATACAATGACCGTATGGTTAATTTGCTTAAGTATAGATTTTGAAGCGAAGAACTCTTGAATTGCTCCCATGAAATCATTCCCGACGGTCTCCCAAGATTTTTTGAAAAAATGTGAAGTATATCCATCGAGTCCTAGTGATTTATCGTCGCCAACATCAAATAAAGCATCCTTGATAGAGATCTTTTTTTTTTTTTTTTTGGGTGCATGAAGATGCATAGTTGAGATGGTTGTTTGTTTCTATCCCCTACCTCTTGAATATTTCATTTTCGAGTTGTCATTGTTTTACGAGATAAAATATTTACTTATTAAATTTGATCTTTATCATTAATCTATGCAAAAATTGTGAAGTTCTTCATTGAGCTTGCAGCTATTGCTGTAGATATGTGATTTTCTCATACTTCATATTTAAATTATGCCTAAAAATGCTACCGATAATAACTAACTATATATTTACATTTTTCTTTATTTGAAGACACAAATACATTGGAATGAGACTAATGTATTTCTTGACGTGCTTGCCAAACGAGCATGATAGAGATTAATCGTTTTTCTTCTAATGCGTTGATATTCTCCTTTTTTTGGAAACTCTATCTATATTTTTTTAAATAAAAATGCAAGTTTTTTTATTCATCTATCATTATATATGGCTCAAACAAAGATAACGTGACTGGACGATATTTTAGTCATTTACATCAAGTTCGTACTTCCTTCTAGCACGGCTAGAGAAATTAGAAAAATGATACCCAATATATTGAGAATTTAATGAAAAAATGTTCAACTTTCTAACTATAACTACGACGGTCATTATTGTATCAAACCAATAGTGATTCATCTTCTGACCTTATTCTTGATCTAATTTGGAGACATGATTCTAATTAATTAAATAATTTGAAGAAGAAATTACAAAATTTCAGGTGTTTAAAAATCAGAATTCAAAAATCAAGGGCCAAGTTTAATTATTCACAATTCATGTATTAATAAATAAATCAACCAATTACAGTGACAGCAGCCAATTTCTCTCTGACGTTTTTATGCAATGCAGCGACACCGAATGATCCCCATTTCTCTTCGATGTTTTCGGTGGGTGCGAGCAGCTTCGTTGAGTGCGAACGGCTTCAGCGCCGTCAAGCTGCTCACACTCGACGCTGTAGATGACGGCGCTGTAGTGGTTTCAGATCTCGCACTACAGCAGTGGTGACAATGTGACGGTGGCTGCTACAGTTACAACTCAAGTGTATTATGGCGGATTTGGTTTGGTTTTGAATGTGGCAGATCTAGTGGCAACTATTGTGGTTGACGGGTGGCGATGGTGGTGAAATGAGAGTTGGAAGCTGCTTTAGAAATGCGCATCTAGATTTCGTGGTTGCGAGAGGGTGGATCTGGTGGCAACGATGGGGGTGGAGATGGTGAGGCGGTGCTATTTGATTTGTGCTTGAGATGACAGGGCTGGTCATGAATAGGTGTTGGTTGGAAATGGTGGTTGTGGTGGTGATGGAGATGGAGATGGAGATGGAGATGGTGAAGTGGTGACGATGTTGCGGTGATGACTTTTGTGGGGTGTTGGCTTTGTATCTGTTTTGTTGGCGGTGAGGTGGTTTAGTTTTGGTGGTGAGAGTTTTGACGGCGATGCTGTTGGTGGTGGTGAGATGGTGGTGAGTGTTGGTGGTAGTCACAAGTGTTTTAATTGTTTGTGATCAAGTAATTTGCGTATGTGACTAACTGGTCACGAAATTATTTGTTTCGATTTACAACCCACTACAAGTGTACTGTTCATTAACAAGTAGTAAAATGGATTATGAGTCCAAGTATCGATCCCACAATGATTGAATTAGTTCAAATCAATCTATTATGACCTTAACCGAAACACGAAAGTAAGATTTATGTATTGTGATTTAACTAAGGAAGATATGAACTATGATGCAATTATGAGTGAGAAACTTATATTAAATGCAAAATGACCTGGAAGCAATCTACGAGAGTTTATGGAATTAATGAATTTACTAACGCACTAGGATCACGAATTCCCAAGCAACACCCGTTCAACTTTTAATTATGCAAATTTGACACACATTCCCACAATTGATGAATCAATATTCCTATTTTAGTTTAGCAATCTCTCACAAGCAATGTCAAACCTACCCCAATATGTGATTCGACTATATCTCTATGACGAATACTAATATACAGGAATGCATTATGATTTCATGAACATTCAACAATTCACACAAGGCATAGAGGTATATTTCTATCCCTTATCGGATCCCATGATGATTTATATTATGTCGAACCTATTTTCCTTCTTTCGTATGCATAAAATAGGCCACCAAAATCATATAATTACGTGCACAATAATAATATGAAAATAATAAATCATTCAATTCCGGAACATGTGTTTAAATATGTCAAATCTCCAAATCAAAAATCAAAAGTAGTATTGCAAAATTTATCGATCTCCTAGCAGTGAAAAATCTAGCCTATCATACTAAAAAGAAGAAAATACAAAAATAATTGAAGAAACGTCATCACCCAAATCAAGTTTCAATCAATTCTTCAATTGACGTGATGTTTTCCTTTCGTTCTCTCTTCGTTTTCTCCTTCAAAATCTCTCTTTTTCTTGTAAAAATGGCGTCTCCTCCGTTCTTGACGTCTTTTGGTATACATATCGTATGAAAATTTTGTTACCAAAGAGTTTTAATCGTACAAGAAAAATAAAATTTTCGCATCGGAAACCTACCATGCGACCGCATGGCTTTAATCCGTGCGGCCGCATGGTTATGCCATGCTACGTCCAAAATTTTCTACCTTCATTTGTGCGACCGCACGAGAGTTCTACCATGCGGCCGCATGGTAGACTCTAACTTTCATTTTCTCAAATTTGGTCTATCTACTTGAATATTTCACTTCTTGACATCTTTTCTTCGTTCTTTCCATTCCATCATCCCAAGATATCATTAATTAGCATTTGGCTTAATCAATGTCTTGATTTGTTCATCGGGTCAACTTTTGGATAATTGCTCTTAGGTCCTTAAATTTTCACTTTGCGTCATTTTAGTCATTTTTCGCGTCCTTTTTTCTGAATTTCACCATGTTCATCGGTGTTCCCTACAATTCACAAATGTAACGAAATTAAGTCACAATTCAATCATTTTGCTCGTAATTAAGTCATGTTTGTGACTTAGGTAAGTGTGCATAAATACACTTATCAAATCCCCTAAACTTGAACTATTGTTTGTCCTCAAACAAGATAGTGACTTAATTCTGAACAAACAAGGCTTAATACCCTGCCGTGGCTCAGGATTGGACTAAGTATTTGACTTTATTAAAATTTCTCAGTACAAAAATGACATTAACTTTTACATGTTAAATGCATACTTGACGTGTGTGTATGAGTTTATGCCAACATATCAAATTTATGATGGGTTGAGTTCCGACCCCAAGTAATCAAATGTATCCTTATTCGCTCGAGAGATACAAAACCCCCAAACTTATTCTTTTCACTCAATTCCTCAGCGTTGTGTTTTAAGATTAGGAATTTACACAGCTGTAATCATCACCCTCTCGTAGTTTGGATTGATCTCACTATCACAAGTTTACATGTCAACAAGTGAAGGCTCTCCTAAGTTTGATTGCTTCGACACTCAAGATTAAACTAGGTTACTTAAGTTTGATTGCTTCGACACTCAAAATTAAACTAGGTTACTTGCCTCACCTCAAAGGTATAGTTTCTTCAACCAAATGTTCAAGGGTTTTTCTTCATGTTATTGCCTCTCTTATGTTTCTCTCACTTTTTTATTATTATCATCTTCTCATTTACTTTCTATATAACCCATGTAATGAGCTTTGGGCCGATGGCTTCCAAACCAGTTGGCTTTAGGGCACCAGATTTTAAACCCTTACAGGCTTATTCACTCGAGTTATAAAAGCTCGATCAGATGACTTTTTATTAATCTCTTTCCCTCTTGCTTTCTATATGACCCATGTATCAAACTTTGGGCCGGTGACTCCCAGGCCAGTTGACCTTAGGGCACCAAATTTTGAAATATTTTTACAGGCGTACTTGCTCGAGTCATAAAGGCATGAAAAGAAGTGTCTTATTCTCACATATTAATTTTATGCCCCCTGTTGTTTTTTCTAGACATTTAGTTTTCAAAACCAACCTCCAATTTAAAATTTTCACCTAGTCTTCACCCCACTGGTCCGGGCCATCCACACAATAAAATTCATGCACGGAACCCTCGCTCATCTCAATGCTCCCCTATAATAGCTCAACCATCACCAAACTGTCTCAAGGTAGTTTATGGGTTAATTCAATAGAGGGTCATCATTCATTTCCTATTTTCTACTCAAAATTCAGTCATTCACCTAACATGTCAAGCATGAATAACGTGCATAGATGATGTCAAGTGTTGTATCAACAAATATCAATTTGTCTAATTAACACCAAATCCAAAGTTTTTACAGTTTAAACAAGTTCAATAATAATATCATAGCTAGCAAGATTATCAAGCCCACATAAGCATGCATGAAAAGAATTAAAACAAACTGAATAAAATGCAAAGAATTTTTTTTAACACTCATCATGCACACATTATGCAATAATGAAATACAGATACTGATGAACACATGAACATAGATAAAGATGTAAAATTATATCACCCCCAAACTTAGTTAATACATTGTCCTCAATGTAAGATTAATGAAAGATTAAATACATAATTTTAAGGACAAAATGAAGACGAAAAATCAAAAATGGGGTAAACAGTGCTCCCTTAGATCAAAATGGATGAGGTGGCGGAAAACTGGGTCTAGATGTACCATCATCTGACGGTGGAGGGTGTCATCCAAGGAGTTGTCGTAGTATCCCATTCAACTCTCTCATCAAGGTGGACTGTTGTGCCTGCTCGGCCTGGATGGCTCTCGTGTTTTATGTTTCATTTACCCGCATCTGGATGTCGTCCACCCGGCCCACATACATGTTCAGCCGGACATTCATGGTATCAATCTCCCGTTGCTGACTGTGGTGTCGTCCCTGGCATATCTGATGTAATTTAGTGCAAGGTGATTGTCTCGTTGTAAACCCTGCAACTCAGTCCTCATGGTGTCGAAATCCTGAAAGAAGCTATGGAGGTCTCGGTTAATTCCCATGATGGTGGAGAATATCTGTCTCAGCAACTGAGTATCCACGTCAGCCTGTGGTGCAGGAGCCTGTGGGAGTTCCTGATCTGTAGGGACTAGGCCTTGCTCTGCCTGCCGTCTACGACGCTCTTTTTCTTGCTCTTTCCTATGTTTAACCCGAGCCCTTTCTTAAGTGTCAAATGTAGTACGTTTAATCATTGGGCTGGGCTTTTCAAGTACCTCCTCAGATAGGAGTGCAATACCCGCAGTCCTACATATGCCACTAATGAGGCTCGGGAAATCATAGGGGAACGGCGATCTCTCTAAGTTCCCAATGTGTGTAGTTGATTGTAAATAAGAGTGGCGAGATCTATCTTGTTACTCCGAACCAAGTGGTAGATGAACCTGCTGTCTGATTGGGAAATGTAGTCTTGTGTGATATAGGCTCGATATTGTGGCACGTGAAGAGCTATAGAATGGCTATGGATTAGGTAAGCTCGATCTTATGTCACTCGGTAGTTGCAAGGGGCCATGCATTTTCCCGACCCATCAAAACCTCGGCAACGTCATTCCAGTTAAATTCAACTGGGATAGGGATCACATTCTCCACTATGAGCTGGTAGTAATCATGAATGACCTCGGGAGAGAACATAATCCACTTCTCCCACACCCAAGTCTAATGGAAATGCTTGGAACCTGGCATGTCAATTTCACTATTGAAGTTGGCGAAGAACACTCGGTATAGAGTCTCATAGATTGGATGTGGTCGCTCCACCAACTTGTGCCACCCACAGATCTGAACTAAGTTGACCAACTCAAAACCCTGGAAATCATCAAGCTTAATGGGTCTTTCAGCGTGTATAATCTAATGGCGTATGATATTCTCATATCGTGCCGCGATTTTTGCATTCAAGAATCGTCGAACTTCCTCCGCAAGCTCTCGAGTACAGGCTGTACCGGTAGAGGAGCTTGCTTTTTCTTTTCCGTGCAAAGTTCTCTTAGGAGGCATCCTACAAGGTTTGTAAACATAAAATTTATTAAACTTCTTGTTGAAAAACGAGAGAGAGAATGAGATTAGCGAAGAATGTATTTTACAAATGCCCCAAACTTGCTTCAACATGCATATATAACTCATTGGTGTGCAATCCTCAAAACACGATATTCAAAATAGTGTAAATAGTGTGCCAATATGAAAAACTAAGAAAATTAGGCCTAAACATGCACATTTGAAAAAGTGGACCCATTACCGAGTGCGTAAGTTTGGCCCCTAACGTCATCGAAAAATATCGAAATTTTCCTGGGTAATCTCCGGACATATAAAAGTATTCAATGAGGTCTAGCATATACTCAAATTTCAAATCAATTGGACTTCGTTTGGTATGTCAAATGATGGTGTGAAGTAGAGGACGTAGGTTGCCGTGACATGCCGTGACCTAATCGTGTGCCTACGTGTTGCAAAATGGATTTGATGTTTTACATGGCCTGTCATGTAAAACATACGCACAAGTTGAGCTCAAAACATCCAAAATATGTCAGGTGACCCATGGTCAAGTGCACATTTTCACCCTCGGACATCATCGAGAAAACTCGAATTTTTCCCGAGCAACCTCCTGGCATATGAAAGTACGTAGTGTGGAGTGGCACATATTCAAATTTCAAACCCACGCCTGATTATGGTGGGAACAAGGAACAACCCACGCCTGATTCTGCCATGCGATCGCATGGCTTTAAGCCGTGCGGTTGCATGGTTCAAGTGGCTTTAGGCCACTTGAATCCTGGACATTGGTTGTGCGACCGCATGAACTAAA